TGCGCTCTCTTCTCATTCTCTTGCTTGTCTCTATGAAAGTCTTCTTTTTTTCCCTTGCTTTGTTAAAATTAGATTTTCAAGGAGGTTGACTCTCGAAAACAGGTCGACAGGTGCATTTGTCTACATACGCGTGTGAATGTAACTAAATCCGTGATGGATGATCATGATTTTATGGTTTAATGACATTGGAAATTGCCTTTTTTTTTGTTGTTTCTCTCTCTTGCTCGCTCGCTCGTTCGCTCTTCTTACGAAGATGATGAGGTGCGAAGGATCAGATTTAAAAAATCAACACACTTGCCGAAACACAAAAAAAAAGGATACACATTAAAATATTGATTGTTCGTCTTAGTCTTTCAATTACTCTCTTATTTATAAATCAATTCAAATTGAAATTTATGGCCAATTTCTTATTTCTAACTACAGCAGCTAGGTCAATATGTTATCTATGGTGACCTCATTTGTCTCCATCATTTGAAATATTGAATATACAATTTACTTCTAAACCTTATTTGCTGCATTTGAATAAATACTATCAAACAACCAATGATTATTATACTTTTCTTTTCTTTTTTTCCTACGTCAAAGAAAAAGCAAAAAAAGAAAACCAACACAACGTTTTTTTTTTTCTTTTTTTGCTGTTATCAGTAAAAGCAAATAGAAACGACACATACATACCTCTTCTCCTTCTCTCTCTCTCCCTCATGCTCTTCGCTGTTTGGATGCGTACTTTGCTTTTTTTTATGAAGTCACAGCGAAGAGCAAATATTGAAAAGAGAGCACAACCAGTCAAGAGCAGAGTAAATAAAGCTATAGAGATAACGAAGGCAAGCTTAAACATACATACAAAATACAACACACCGGTTCTTATTCTTCTTCTTCTCTCTTAACTATTTATGAACGATCAATAATCTTTCTGACTAAAGCATTGTTATAAATTTTGTCGATGATGATCGATTGATATTCATGTAGAAAAGAATGTATAAACAAAACATCCAAAAAAAAAAATGAAGAAATGTTATAATCAATAAAAAGACCTATAGCAATGAAATGGTTCATTACAAGAATTACTCACCGATAATAATAGTAGACAGTCCACTGACATCGTCTTTGTGTCTGATCATAGCTCATCGTTTTTTCTTTTTTTTGTTTCTCGTCGAGGTATTTTGCCAATAAATATCATACACATGTATCAATGTATGTGCCTGGACTGAAATAGAATGAAATTGGATATCTATCATCAGTTATTTTTATTTTTTATTTTTACTAAGCCAGATGATCGAACTAATATATAAAGATCAAGGTCAGAACAGTTCAATTCTAGGTGTATAAGAGAAATGAACCTGGTTGATGATACTATTATATGTTCGGACTAGTTGGACAGAAGTTTTTAGTATTTTTTTATTTTAGTATTTGAATACGTACCGAATGAGAGTGTGCGACCGAATGACTGACTGACTGACTGACTGGCACGGCGGCCATACTCTTATTATCTAAATTGTTATTTGGATAAGATAACTCGATTGTACGAGAGAAGGTTGCGCATTTTTGTTTCTTTCATTCCCTTTTTATTCTTTTTTTTTCCTATACTGTTTGATAGACTTGCAATGAGGCGTAACATACAAAAGTAAAACGTTTTCATACGTGCATAGTTTTCTCAATAATTATTCTCTTGTGAATACTAACAAACAAGAAAAAAAACAAAATAAGAAATTAACGCATACAAATACACAAGCTTAAAAAAATATAATGGTGTTTATTAAACAAGGAAAAAAAAAGTTATTTTCTATTTTAAACGAAGTCTCATATGATACTTGACTTGGAGTTGATGGACGCGTACATATGCCAATGATGAATCGACAACGTTTCTACAATAAATGAGTAACTCGCATCAAAATACGTTGGAGTCTCATTTGTCGTAAATACATCAAAGCTACAAGGATGGATCATATTACTATTAACACTTCAATGTTTCGAGACAAAAATCAATTGATAATTTTGAATTTTTCTATAAATATTTCAACTTTTGTTTTTGTTTTAATTCAATTTTATTCAAAACAAATTTATTAAATACAATATAAGTTAAATTTGAAATTTCATTCTATGGACTATTGAAAATATGAATCGTGTGCTTCTAATTGATTGTTTAGATTTAAAACAAATTGATCAGTTATAGTTTGTTTTGTATTTAAAAATTTCTTTTAGCTAACAATAGCAGAAAGGATATCTTCATCGATTATTTCTTTGTATAGTTCTTGTCTTTGATAAAACGCTTTAGCATAATCACAAGTTATCATAATCTTGAAATCATTAGAAAAGAAAAAGCCTTCAATAAAATTCCTTCAATAGAAAAAATTGTCAAACATGGATTTAACGGATCAAAATCAATATTTACTAATTTATGATGTGAATGTTGACATATTGTCAATTGGAGAAAATTGTTGGACTTTTAGATTGTAATAGAATTTAAGATCGGAAGTATTAACAACAACAAATCAAGAGAGTAGTAGAAGATTAGTCACATAAAAAAAGCAAAACGTTAAATATATTTTATCTTTAAAATAATGCTTTCAAATGATTATCATTCACATTTAATGATAATAATGAATTTTATCATGGTGAACATTCATTAGAAAAAAATGGAAACTAATAAAAACTGTTCAGAGTAAAGTGAGCAGCAAAGTTTTAAGAGACTTTCTATTTCTGTGTTTTTCTATAAAAAGAAAAGAAGATAAGAGCTATCTTGTGGGTGACAGGCGTAACCAAAGCTAAGAACAACAGAAACTAGCTATGCTTGATCTAGTTGATTGTTGAATGAGTAAAGAGGAAAAATTGTAAATTTTATCCAGCTGGTAAACGTTAAAGACATTTTCAGTATTTTGCCAATTCTCTCGTTATCAAATAATAGAAAAAAAAATTTGAAAAAAAACTGTTTGTAATAATTTCTATTAGTCAAAAACTAAAAAAAGGATTTTATAATCGTTTATGATCTTGTAATCGATTTTTCAGACACCATTGAAAAGTTAATTAATACTCTATTAATAGTTAAGAGAGCACCAACGAACCGAGGCAATGATCAAAATCTAAACTTTGGATTTTGTATGTGCGCTCAAAAATTTATTATCTGAAACCACGAAACTCATATTTTTAACTCATTTGGATGTATTATAGTCAATTTAATCAATACTGACTTTTGAGCACTAAGAAACTACTATGAAAAAAGTAGTCAAAAATCATCATATAAACGTCTCTTAGGATTATAATGTAACAGAGTCAGAGAATTTTGCCGTGTGATATAATAAAAGATGGAGCATGAATAGCTAAAAAAGCACGAGCTATCTAAACTCTCACATGTCATATATTTACTGGGGTTTTGCAGTTCAACATGAGTGAGAGAGACAAGGAGTAAAGAATGGAATCCTGGAATTCTGTGAAATTCAAGAGAATCCTGAATTCCGGATTCTATCGAATTCCACAGAATTTCATAAGATACCATAGAGAATCCCTAGAAATCTACGATTCGAAGATTTAGCTCTTTGTCTTTTGGAGAGAAGTCACCATTTACGAGTGTATAATGGTCGATGCTGGGCACTAAATCTGCTGTCATTCTTTTTTTTAAATCAGAAGTTCAAAACGAAACGTAGTTTATGTATGTGTTTTACATAGTCATTTTTGATTATTTTGCAAGAGAAAAGTTTTTTTTAGCGGTTTCCATTGCCATGACACCATTGTAAAACAAATAAATGTGACATTCAGAGTCAGAATCAAAAACTACATTGAGTGAAATACGTTTAAGAAAACCCTTTTGTCTTTGCAAGAATTACCTATGGTCTCGTACGACTGTATTTTATTTAAATTTTGCCCGTGGTCCCCCAGGGGTTATTTTTTTCTCAGAAAAAAGGTTTCTCTAAAATGTTTTTGACTCTGACTCCGAATGTCACATTTATTTTGCTTTACAAATTCCATCAAGGGAATGAAAAACGCTAAAAATGTTTTTTGAAAAATAATCAAAAATCACTGTGTAGGAGAGAGATAAGAATCGCGTTTCATTCCAAAATTTCAATTTCAAAAATTGTTAGCAAGCATTCTGCCAGAAATTTGTCATTATGGACTCGGATATTGTGACTTTTCTCAGTGATTTTCAACTACAACATTCCAATGGATATATATAATAGATTTGTTGAAGTAGAATCAAAATAAACATTTATGGATCAATTTTTGAATACTTTCTTGATAGTAGGCTGGCAGTGACCAAAAGTTGGTCTTGACTAACTTTAACATAGTATATCTAAATTAGTTTAAAATTTGGGTTTGGTAGTTTTAGATGATGGCTTTTCGACCAGGCATAAACAATCAAAAATTTAAATTTTCACCAGTGCCTCGATTCCTTGATCCTGTTGTGAGTGTTCTCTTAAGAGAATTGAGCTTTAAAAAGAAATGTCAAAACGTTGAAAAATAATGCATTTTGTAGAGCAGAATTCGTCCTATTGGATTTGGTGTAATGTACAAAGTGTCTTCCATGAGATAATATTAGAGTGCAGAACAATAGCTGACAAAAAAAGCACAGAAATAAACATTATCTTAAACTTTTGCTGTACACTTTACAATCAGTTTGAGAATCAACAGACTATTCATAATCTGTGTAAACTTACCATTGAATAGCTATATAATTATCTTATTTCAAAGAAATTTTTTAATGTAAATCTTATTTATTATATCCTTTATAGTTATCAATTTATACATAAATATCATTAGAAAGAATATGAAAAATATATTTAACTTATTTTCATCGTCGTATTTTGTTTTATTGAAGAGAAAAATAAAAAACAAAACAAAACATATGACTAATATCTATATAAGCGTATTCACGAAAAATGAAAAATAATCTATTTATTCATATAAGATCACAATAGAATTTTATAATTAAATTACTGAATAAAAATGGTAACGCATACAAAAAAGCAGAAAATTTCTTTAACCGTAAAAAATTATATAATTAAGTTTTATGATATTGAAAGTGTCCAATCGGATGTTACTAATGGACCAGGTCGTCGAATAATAAGTGTATGTGACGCTTCTTGATAACTATGAAGTGGAGTCGCTTGTTTATCACCTGAATGAATTATGACTCTATTTGGATTTTCTGGATAACCATGTATAATAATACGTTCAATCCAAGCTGCTGTCTCAAATTTAGCTGAAGTATCAAGAGATCTTAAAAAACAACGAACAGTAATTGAATTTTTTTAAATTATAGAAAAAAAACAAAAACAAATGAAATCATACTTTGAACGAAGTTCATTATTTTTAAATGTAAAACGACGATAAGTTAATTGACGTTTTCCTCGATAATTATATGTATATCCATCATCCATATACAATTCACCTTTAGCTTCATACTAAAGAAAACGAAGGTTTTATAGATTTATTTAGTACAATATTATTTTTAATATGAGAAAAGTAAAATTAATTAATCGAATGTTGAAAATATATTGTTATACTTAAAAAAAGACAATAATTATAATTTTAAAACACTCAAATTACACAGTTTTTTGAATTTTATGCTTACAATATTATTCTAGAAGATTAATTAGGGTATCTACTAAAGGTAAAACATTGATTAGAATAGATTTATCTCAAATACTTACAATTCTCGCAACCGAACAGTAATGTCTACGGATGTAATTCGAAATTTTATTTAATTAAGTGTTTTAAACTTATACTACAGAATGAATTCTTTTTGTTTAATCTAAAGTGCATATTAATTTTCATGCTACTTCTCAACAAACAATTCTCTTAAAAATAATTAATTTTCATTTAATACATACATTTCGATCAAGTGCAACTACTAATGTAATTGGATCCTGTAAGGCAAGCATTGACGAACGTCGTTTTCTTAATCTTCGGGGAATAATGACACCACCTAATTGATAAACTGGAATCTTAAAAGAAAAAGAGAATCGATTAACAATATACAAATATGTTTCTAATTCATATTTTATTCTGAATTACCGATTCTATATCAACATTAATCAATACTGTTTCCGAACCATTATATTGAGTATATGTTCGTATGTCATACCAAACCTTTACAAACAAAACAAAAAAATATATAATATCTTAATATTCATTTTTCTTACTGTATTTTCACCGGGAAAATAAACCGAAATTTGATTAATATCAGCTTCAGTTACTGGATAAACAAGTAGACCATTACCTATAAAAGAAAGCCAACTATTTTCCTCCACCTAACTCTTTTAATTCTTCAAATGATACATACCAACCATAAATGAATCTTCGGTTTTAAATGTATTTTTATCTTTTGGAAAATTAGCCCATAATGGTAACATTGGTGGTATTCCTTGTCTTTCTTGTTTATAAAATAAAGTATACCAATAAGGTAAATAAGTATAACGTTGTTCAATAGCCTGTCGTATAAGTCTTGTATTATCATCACCAAATAACCATGGTTCACGACGAGATGTATCAATATGCGCATGTTCACGATAAAATGGCTGATATGCTGCTGTCTTAAAATGAGACAAAAAATACACAACATATTTAAAGAATTGTTTTTTTTTTTTTTTTTTTTTGTATTCTCAACATACTTGATACCATCGAACAAGTAATTTCGCATCTGGATTATAAAAATATCCTCCAACATCAGCTCCAATAAAACCGAAACCAGTTACAGATAAACTTAATAACATTGGTATAGTTATTTTTAAATGACTCCATTGTGCAGAATTATCACCTGTCCATACAGCTGCTGTACGTTGTGAACCAGCAAAAAATGAACGTGTTAATATAAATGGACGTATATGTCCATTTGAACGATTTATAAGACCTTGAAATGTTGACATATGTTGAAGCATACCATAAAGATTATGTACTTCTCGATCTTCCCATCCACCATAATGAACAATATCTTTTGGAAATGTTATTTCTGGACCATTGAATACTGATGGTTCATTCATATCATTCCATAGAAATAGATTTTCTGTTGAACCTTTATAATTTTCAAGTAAATATCGTTGAGAATACCATTGAAATATATCAGGATTAAAAAAATCAAGCCACATTGAAGAACCTAATAATAAATAAAAAATGAAAAATTTATTTATTTTTTTGTTGTTGTTTATTTTCTTCACCTGGCCAACATGATCCTTCATAAACTTGTCCATCTTTTGTTTTAACAAAATATCCTAATGCTTTTGCTTCAGCATATATTTGATATCCATCATCTTTTTTTATATGTGGATCAGATATTGTTATGAGTTTTCTTCGATAAGTAGCAATATCATTTTGTAATTTTTCTGGATTTGGAAATTTTGATATATCCCATGTAAAATATCGTTTACCATTTGTATGTTCAATATCAAGCCATATAACATCGAGTGGAATTCGATGATGTTCAAAACCATTTAAAACGCTAAATAAATATGTTCTATTATGAATATTAATTAATGATAGATTTACTTTCGAACATCGTCTTCATCAATATAATTCCAACGACATTGATGATAAGCAATTGACCATAACTAAATAAAAGAAGATTAGTTTTAGAAAAGAGTTTAAAGAGGATCCATACCGGTGGAAGTGGAACAGAACCTGTTATAACTGTATATTGTTTAAAAATATCTCTTGGTGTTGGACCCATAAAAAAGAATCCATCGAATATTCCTGATTCAAACATCCAATGAGTTGATACTTCTGGTATTTCATTATTATTAGTATTTGATTGAGTAGCAAGAAACTTTGAAATTGTTGAAAAGAAATTCTAAGAATAAACAAAAAAAATTAATAAATAAATTGAATCATTCATTACAGTGATCTGTCTTATTTAAATTTAATACAGAAGTTAGAGATTCAACTAGTAGAAGCTGTCGGATCCAAATTTTCAAACTGATTCCATCTCTGACAGTAGTGATAGTCATAGAAAACTATGCCGAATCATTGTTATATGAGATATTCGATGGTCGACTGAATAAGAATTTCATTCAAAAGTTTAACAAAAGAATAAAACAATTTATACATAAGACGGAAGAAATATAGATGTGCAAAAAAGATTAATCATTTTTATCTATTACATAATGTTTAATTAATCTAAATGTTAATACTTACTTTAACACTTAACTTATTATAATTAACATCAACCCATCCTTCAGCTGCATTTAACCAAAAAAAGCCAACAGTTGCATGTGAACTAGAAATAAATAACTAATTCGAAGAGTTATTTTAATTAATAATTCATTTACTTATGAGCTAACATATATGGAACAGAACCATAAAGAGCCATAGGATTTTGAATATCATATTCAAAAATATCAACATTAAAGAGACGATATGGATCACTATCACTAAAAATAGCATAATCAACTTGTTTCTTCCTTTTATGAATAATAAATAGGGATCTTTTTTTACTGTGTAGATCTAAGTGAAAATGCATCAGCATGTTCTGGAATGCCATAAACATTTTCAAAATTAAGAAAATTTACATCCACACCGATAGATGATGGACCTTAAAAGCAATTCTTTATAATTAATTGAGTATAGATAATAATTATTTTCTACCATATGGTTTCGAATCATGATGAGTTTTAAATGTTTCTTCCCACATTCCATCTTCATTCTACATAGAGAAAGAATATTTTGTCAAGTTTGACAAATAACAACATATGTTACTTGAATCTAAACGAAATCCCATTAAATAAATTTCATCTGACATCCGAAGTCTGTTAGAATTTAATGAAGTCTTGGATCGAACTGTTTTTCCTTTGGATGATTAATTCATTTTTTAGAATATCTCTGCCTCTTGGCTATCTTGTAGTATGGGATGCTGGCTAAGTAGCACAGTCAGACGGTCAATATCTTTTCTACAACTAATACTAGCTACAGCTCTGGACAGAAGACCAGCCTGACACAGAATTTTTGTGCTCTTCATACACAATAACTAGTCATAAAAACAGATGAATGTCACAATGTAGTGAGCGCGACTAGTGACTTGTCCAGGATCATTCTATGTTTGGTGATACAGAGATTTGAACACAGTACCTTGTGGATACATCTCAAAAAGTGTAGCCACTCATCCATGATGATCTTCAGTGTTCTATCCAGATTTTCTGTTCTGGAAGAACAATTTAAAACTTCGGAAGGACACCACCCCTTCGACATTCCCGCTGAATAAAACTGGCAGCTTTATATTAATTTTATTCAATGAACTCAAATTAATAAAAACCTGGTATTCATCAATCATCGTCAAAGTGAAAAAGCTTATGTCATCGTACGACAACTTCAGTGCTTTTCATTTTTTCGTACAAATTTGTTGAAGGGTGCAATGTAAAACTGATTATTATTTGAAAATATATCCGTACAATACTTATTTAGGCAACATCTCTATAGAACTGAAATTCGGTTGATAATAAACAACAAAGAAGATTCAACTTTCTCCTTAATAATAATGATACTTCATAGATACTAAATATTCAAGGTTTATATTTACAATTAATCGAGAACTGTCATCTACTAACATTGTTATTAGTTGCTGTTGTATTTGATCTATTGAAAAAACAATCAAATTCATATACATATATATATATATATGAAATGTAAAAATACTCTTACTCGGGTTTTTTTCGATAATATTCAAAATTGAACATATTTTTTGAATTAACACTCATAACAAATATATTATTGGTAAATAAATCCAATCGAAATGGCTTAGCATTAAGTAGAAATTTAGATGTTTTACCAAAATTAACTTCCATATTATTTTCATCTGATTTTGTTATATTCATACTAAAAAAACATTACTTGTTTTCGTTATCTTTTTGTTCATTACATAATTTTTCTTACTTGACAAGTTTTGGTTCACCATCAAGACTATATTTAACTTCATAGCGTTTTCTTATTGGATTTAATTCATTGATTTTAACACGTAATGAATTATGTTCAAGTGTAAAAATTTCTAATTTAAATTTAATATGAGATTTTAAAGTGCTAAAAAGTAGAAATCGTAAATGGCCATTTTTAACTATTTTCATTGAATTAAGATCTACTTCAAAAGGTGATCTATCTGGTTTATATTTGCGTTGTCGTCTAATTAAAAATTAATTTTTTTATCGTAAAAGAAAAGTTAGTTAACTGAGAAATATTTACCGACAAAACGAACTTTGTTCACATGTTTTAAAATTACTACGATCAACATTTTCAACGGACGGAATGTTTAAAATAAATAGTATAAAGATAAAATTTGCTAGATAAATAAATTTCTTCATTTCTTTGCTTTCTTTTTATTAATTTTTGATTTCAACAGTAGTTGATGGATTGATGATTTTTCGAGAGCTTAAGTTTTGGAAGAAGTATATTGGTTTTTGAAAATATTCAACCAAAATTAATTAATTTATTATTAAAATTTTTTTTATGAATAAATTTTGAAATTAAAATGAAAAATAATAAATTTGATATGAAAGAATATTTAATACATGAAATATAGATGGCACTAAATTCTATATGATTGGAGTCAAGATTGTTATAGTTAGGAATTGTAAAATGGAGAAAAGAGAATCGATCATTCTCATTTTTCAATTGCGTGATTGATTGGAAATAATAATTTTGATTATATGAGCTTGATTTCAAAATAAAACATAATATGAGTAAGTCTTTTGTAATTTTAGTTTAATCAGAAATGTTATAATTAATATTTAGAACTTCATTAAGAATTAAATATTTGCTTTCAACAAGCGAAGACAAACTTGACATCTTCATAGGAACATTTTCTGGATAAATCTATCCATATATTGAGTTAATATATTAGTTGAGAAATATTTGAATTATTCTTCTAATAGAGTAATTAACTCTAGTGCAATCATTCTGCTGTAAACATCATTGGAACGGTTGAAAAACGTTTGCTATAAAAAAAAAAAGTTCATTTTATAGAATTGAAAAATGTTTAACAGTGAAATACAGAAAGAAAAAATAAACAAGTTTTATTTAATTTTTTGCTTGTAATTAGTTTTGATTCTAATTCATTAATGAAGTTCATTTAGTCTTAGAAAGTATACGCTTGTTGTGACGTCATTCATTTTCTTCATATGTATAGTCTTCGGTTCATACATAACATGTACCTAATCATAACACACAAGATACAAGTAAGAGAGAGAGAGAGTGATAAAAAATAAAGCATTTTACCTATGTTCACATTTTTAGAAATTGTAATTGAAAGCGAAACTATAAAAATAAGTATTGATTTTCTGAATAGAGAAGTGCTGACGATAGAAGAATGCATCTTTAGTGAAAATGATTTCATCGAATCTCAGATTATTCATAATACAGGAATATATTTACTTTTTAGTAGAAGTTTTATTGTAACAGTTTTTAGACTATTTCATTAATTAATCAATTGACTACTAAGCATTCATAAAAATTCCAATAAGTTAAATTTTGAGATCTTCTTTACATTTTAAGACAATCTGAATAATTTTTCATATGAGAATTCAGGAGATCAAACAATCTATGTTAACATTTTAGTAAGTGATGCATTCAAAATATTATCCGATTGGTCATACTTACGATCGCGACCATAGTTTGTCGGATCGGATTGAAGTTTTTTTGAAAAATACATCTGACATTTTGTTCCAAGTACCTACAAAAAAAATTTCAGCCTAATCAGACAAAAATCGAGACTGTAAGCAAGCCTGATCGGCTGTACTCTCGCGAAAAATCGGAAGACGGGGTAGGTACTTTTATTAATCAATCTCAGTATTTAAATGTGTCCTACTTACCATTGCATGATTAATTTCTTATAGAGAAAAATAGAACTATTGAACAAATTCATCGTCACTGTCTCTATCTATGTAAAGCAAATGGTTACACTCCTATGATGTTTTCTACCAATCGGAGTTTTTTGCTATTTCAAATCTCTTTTTGTATTGTCAGTCTAAATAATAAATAAAGATTAAATCGTCTGGAAATATGAAAAAAAGAATCCACAACGTCATTGTTAATATGTCAAGTTAACGTATTTCTTTAATATATAATTTTATATATTTAGCGGAAACAACAGTTTATCGAACAAAACCATCGAATGAAACCTCTTCGAAAGGTCAAACAGCATTTTATCGTAATGTTATTTTGCCTAGTAAAACGTATAAAGAAAAACATAAAGTTCGTAATAAAACTAATTTGATTAGTCATTCTGTGTCTTTATTCGTTTGTTTAATTTCTCTTTGTTTTCTAGCTTCCATTAAATCAAATAAAAAATGCTGCAGCAGCTTATGAGCAACAATCAATACTTCAAAAAGAAGATACTGAAAAGTTTATTTACTAAAAAAAATAAATTCTATTTTGAATATTGAATGTATTTTTCTTTTGTAAATTAGATTTCGAAGTTCATTAAAACGTCAATTATCAATTGATATGCTTCGACATGGTTATCATAATTCATTTCGTGAATTATGTGCGACATTAGCATGGCAAAAAGAAGATCGAGAACGATTAGGTGCTGAACATCCACTACATCAACGACCATTACTTGATGGCGAACCAGACAAATTACGTTTTCTTTGTTTACATCTTAACAAAGCTGAAGAAGCTGAACGACGATGTAATTTAATTTTTCTTTTCACTATTTAAAGAAAAAAAGTAATTAAATTTTTCTTTCTTTTTTAAGGTCAATATTCAAATATGTATCATAGTTATCTTGAATTAGCATCCTATTTTTTAAAAAGTGATGATCGTTGGTTATCAGATTCATTCTATGAAAAATGTTTATCAGTTGCTCAAACATATCGACAACTTGATCCACAATTGGCAGCTGAAGCACATCTTAATGTTGGGTTAGCATATGAACGACGAGGTTAAATAAAACATAAACGAAAAAAAAGATAATTATGATAAATTTGAATTATTCTAGGTGATTTAATGAAAGCATTACATAGTTTTATAAAATATCGTCAATTAAGTGAAGATTATGAACAATTAAAAGCTGATGCCAGTCTTCAACTAACACGTTTATATATGAAACTAGCTGAACGTCGAACTGATAATGAATCACTTGAATATGTTACTAAAGCATATGAAGCTTCAACACAAGGTAACGGATGATCAGCAACTTTTTTAGACATGATGTTTATTCACTTTTGACATATTTTCAATGAATCAAAAGCTATGATTTTGTACTTACGGACTTAGAAATTGTATTCGAGAGTAGTGCAATAATCTTTAACACGTTTATAAAATTAGTTTAGGCGAAAATTGTGGGCTTAGAAATGTTGTGCCTATTTTTGTAGGACTCTTGGAAAGATCTAAAAATTTATTTTAAATGGTAATCGTTTTGAAGAACTGATTTCAATGCAAAACGGTTGTTGATTTTTCAAAAATGAGTACTTAGGAAAAACGAAAATGAAAGTGTCTTGTTGTGTCCAAAATTTTCTAACACGGCCGAATCGCACGTTAATACTATCGAAATTGGATAGTCGCTCCGATGATACGAGATAGATTTTTGCGGTTTTTTACAATCGGTGACTAGTGCATCCTACACATTTCTCAGATGATTAGAGCTTGTTCGATCTCAAGTTTTCGGTCCGGTTAACAGAAAGATTACAATCTCGAAGAGGACCAACGCGATAGACCTAATGCCTTGTCGTAAAAACAACAAAAATTTCAAATAGTATATTTTGAAAGTTAGTTTACGATCTACAAGTTGATTAATAAAAAAAATCCCATTTTTTAGTTTCGATTCGAAACACTGAAAATACAAATTTTCTGCCCAAACTAATTTTTTAGGCTTTTCAAAGATTATTTCAGTTCTCTCGAACAAAATTTCTAAGTTGATATTCGAAGCGAGCACAATATTATAGCTTCTGACTCATTGGAACTACGTGAAACGTGAACACACATTTTGTCTAAAAGATTTCTGACCATTCGTTATAATAACACACTTCGAAAAAAACTGAAAAACATTGCTTTTTTTTTTCTTTAATTTGTCTAGGTAGTGATAAAAAAGTTGAAAATGAAACGAGTTATAAATTAGGGCAAGCTTATGTTGAACATGGAAATATTGATTTAGCTTTAAAATATCTTCATAAATATTATGATTATTGTGAACATGTTAATGATGATGAAGGTTTTGGTCAAGCAAGTGAAGCATTAGCTATTTGTTATCAAAAGTAATTTTAACTGAACAACAAAATCAAAATTATTTTTCATTGTTTTGTTTTGGTTTTTTTTTAGAAAGGCTAATGTAGAAAAAAGTACAGAATATTTAACAAAATATTTACAAAAAGTATCCGATAAAGAAGGTGATATACAATATGCAAAAGCATGTAGTGCACTCGGTTTTATTCATAATACATTAGTAAATATTAAAATTTTTATTTAAAATTTCTTTTTGTTTGTTTGTTTTTTTTTCTTAGAGTCAATATGATTCAGCTATTCAATCATTAAGTAAAGCTTATAGTATATCACTAGCTAATAGTCATACTGATCTTGAACGTAATCGTGTTTTATTTGGAATAGCACATGGTTTAAAATTACGACCATTTTTTAATGATCATATTGATCGAATGAATACAAAAGAATTACTTCAATGGAAATCTACACGACATGAAAGTTTTTTAACAAAACCAAAACCATAAAATTTTGACTTGTAATTTAGTCTACTCAACAAAAAATAAACATATTAAGAACTATTAAGTACGAATTCTTATTTTTCTGTATTTGAAATAAAAAATAAATATATTTAAACATTCAAAAAATTCAATTGATTTTTCAGCTATTTAGATGATTATTAAGGATTCGTTCATGACTATAAATCAATATATAATGTTGAACCTTTGAAAACTTAGATATCAATTTTATTTTGCAGAACAAATGTTTAATATCGTACAATGAATATTTTTACTGTGAACGACAAATTCAGTTCATTCTGTTGAAACTGTTAAGGTCATTCTCCCTCTTTTCCGAACCCAAAAATTCATTTTGTTTTCGATTGTGACTTCTTTTTTGCATGTAAAAAGACATTCGAGTGTCCTATATCGGATGGCATATGACCAAAGAGTTTTCATGTTTAATTAGATCCTTAAGAAAACTGACTTTAGACATCACTTCTATAAAAAATCACGTTCTACAGCTCTATTGTGTTGTGAATGATTTATACTAATAGAATTATTTCATCATCAATATACGTTGTGTAGACCAGCGATGCATCCTACTAGCCACTTTGCAAGTAGATTAATTGATAGATATGCATAAAAAACACGAAGTATTGAAAAAATATCGTTCTACGCTGTTTCCTGTCTTTTTGTTAAAATCGAATTTTTCATTCCAGACGCTTCGACCAATTCAACTGAAATATTTTGTACGCCAGCTAGGAACAAATTGGGTTGTATATATGTTTTTTTCTTCTTAAAGTAATGTTCTGATCGCTTTTGACAGATCTTACAAACTTTTTCCTGAGGAAAAACCACGTTTTATGACAAGTGAGTTCCTATAAAAAAGTTCATCCATAAAAAATGAATTTATGGTTGTTTGCGAGGAAGAAACATAAGATCATTTTTGTTTCTGCACTCTTTATATCTCATAGAACGAAGCATCTGAGAATTCTGAGTCTATGACAACTTTTACTCGAATAGTCGAAATCTATCTATTCTGAAAGTTTCATAGTTTTTCGTCAAGTTCTGTGTAAGATGCGAGAGGTTGTCATTAAGTTCCTGCCTCGAATCTAGATAGTATATATTAGAATTGTAGGAAAGAGATTATGATGAATTTTCTATTAAACAAAAGTCAAAGATAGTTAATTTGACAACTGGAAATTATAGATAGAACTCTATTGTCTTTATATATTATTTTCTATTATTTGAAAGAGCATGTCAAGTCGCAAAGCATGTCAGAGCTCTTATTACTCTTACATTTTCTGTNTTATTTTTTTACAAAAAGCCTCGATAGTGCCAAAAGTTGATATTGACTAACTTTTCATAGGAAGGGTATTAGAACATAAAATTTTAGGGTTAGTAGTTTTAGACATTGAAGTTTCGAATGAGCGAAAAAAATCGAAAAAAAAAATTTTATCGAGTGCCTCGTATATTGGAACGATCCTCGATCGTCTCATGGACCCTCTCTTAAGTTCCTGCCTCGAATCTAGATAGTATATATTAGAATTGTAGGAAAGAGATTATGATGAATTTTCTATTAAACAAAAGTCAAAGATAGTTAATTTGACAAATGGAAATTATCTATAGAACTCTATTGTCTTTATATATTATTTTCTATTATTTGAAAGAGCATGTCAAGTCGCAAAGCATGTCAGAGCTCTTATTACTCTTACATTTTCTGTTAAAGATTAAGGATGATAAGTTGAATACCGCAAAATTTTCTTAAATAAATTGGCATTCTATGCAGTGCTCAACCTGTCATCATTTTCCACTAACAATAAAATAAGAGCTTTGTCAGGCTCTCCAGTCTGACATGCTCTGTCAAACAAAAGAACAATAATATATATAGAAAGAAAGAATGAAGGCTCATGGGCAACTTCAGGCTTCAAAGTAGCTATTTTTAACTTTAAACTGAGAAATATTTAATGAAAAACTTCATCATAGCCTCTTCGCTACAGTTCCAACGTATTATAAGTAATTTATGCGATTTGTATTTTCGTGGCATAAACTTAATATTAAGGAAAAGGTCTTAACGAATTGAATCATTTTCAGTTTTTTTAAAAGTTAGATTGTAAAATTTTACAACACTATAAACTTAAACATTGTTTATACTCTTTTATTTTAGTACTAACTATTTATAATAATAACGTTTGAAATTAAACTTACTTCATATATTAATAAAACAGTGGTTGATGAAAAAATTTTTTGTAGCCAGCAAAAGAAAAACAAACTGATGTACAAAATGGGAAAATACAAAATGTACACGGCAATAATTGAAAGCATAATATTTGACAAGGAGATGTTAAGTCATTGTATTAGAATTATTTGTTGTTATTGTGTTTTTTATTGATTGTTCAGTTAGAACGTTATGAATTTCTATATCAGATATTACTGTTTTACGTGTTGGAGGTTCAGGTGGTATTATATATGATGGTTTTTGTGTCGTTCCAGGTGTTTTAGGACGAGGAGAAGTCGATAATGCACCTGCTGGTCTTGGTTGAGAAGTTCCATGATTTATTGGTACAACACGAGTTCGATAAATCCAATTATTATAACATATGTCCAATTTACCATAAAAATAAATAATTTTAAAAAGAAAACATAAAACTCCAAAACTAATTAAACCAATACCAATAAATTTAGTATTTTCTACTTCATATATAACACCAACGACAATAAGAATAAGTCCAATTACTATTGCAAGAGAACCACAAATAATGCATAAATGAGACAATTTATACGTATATGATCCACCACGCACGTTTGCCGGCGCTATCATCGTATTACGAGATCGACCACTAAGGAAGAGCATTTTGTTTTTTTCTTTCAATAAAAATACATAATGTTGAGAATCTTCAAAGAAAAATTTCTTGATTTTTCTTATCAAATATATTTGGTTTAAATATTTCTAATTCTCCTTAACAAAAAACAAACTCAACATAATTTATCAATTAATTGATGTTTTTAAACAAGTAGTTCTATTCGAAATTAATCATCTATCTTTCTATGAAAGATAAAAATAAAACAGTATGAGAAACTTTTGACCTATATCTTTCTCAGTACTTGGAAAATAAGCTAAGGTATATATATTTTTTTTCTCTCTTATCAAAGAAAGAAAATAAGAAAAGAGGAAATAGAAGAGAAAAAAAATTAAAAAAGACGACACAAATGCAGTGAGTTACAGTAGAAGATTCCTTCTCAGAACATAAAATAATGATTCAAGTGGCATTTACTAAAGAAAAAAACTGACAGTAAAAAAAAAGAAAAATGGAAAGAAACAGTGTACTTCGAGTCACAACAGGAAAAAGAAAGGTAATGAAGAAAAATAGCAAAGGAAAGAAACAGTAAGCTCATGCATATACTAATTACTATGAATTAAATTTATCATGTCTAGATTTTTGTCTTTAATCATGTTTGATAACAAAAAAACATGTAAATTAGAATGTAAAACGATTTTGTGAACTTTTATATTGACAAATGTTTAATAAATATTAAAATTAGAAAATAATTTAAAAAAGAAAATGTCAGAGCAAAAGCAAACAAACTTATTTAAAATAATTATTTGACAGTCTACAAATACAATTTAATTAATTTTTTAATCAGCACGAAACTAAAAGATTAATTTAATAAAATATAATTTGTAAAATCTATTAGAAATAAGAACTTAATGAAATGTTCAAATTGTCGAAATGATATCGTCATCTAACTCTTCAGTTTCGATATTCTGCTCAAGCATTACTACCGATTTATTGAAGATTAAGTCAATGACATATGCGTCATACTTCTAATAGATTTATAATGAATTACAAAAACATGAAAGAGATTGACAAGCAAGACTTAAAATTTAATATCGGTAGTCGTCCGGATAAATATAGCTAAAGCACTAATTACCTACGGACATAGTACATGTTTTCATTGCATTATCTATCGACAATGTCTGATAGAGAACATTTAATGTAATTCCTCTTCTATAAAAAGACTGACTTGATATTGTTATACACACAGGAAATCGATTCTTATTAATCTAAATAAGTTCAAGGCATCGAAATTAATGTTATAATGACGTATAAAATGTACTTAGCTTACATTTTCGAAAAAGAAGTAAAATTTTGACATAACTCAAAGTCTGAAACTTTATATTGAATAAAAAATGCAATCATTGAATAAGTAAAAACAAATTTTCTTTTGGTGAATAATTATTAAAACTGCTGAGTCATCTCAGAACTTTAGTTTTTTTGACAATTTTGTTTATAAAATAGATGGAAATATTCGAGAAAAGATTTTTCATGAAAGAAAAGAAATATCATCCTGTTACATAACGCAACCAAAGCGTCGTTCAAAAAAGGACGTTTTCTATGTACTTCATCAGGACATTTGTATGCATGTCATATCCTAGCTCTTTCAATTATTTTCTTGTCACAATGATAATGAAATTTTATGAAATAATTGAGTCCAATCTCAACGCAGTTTTAATATAGACTTTCCAGTTTTACAAATCTATTATAATTCTTTCCTTGAATAATATAAATTAAATTATTATCAATAACTAATTTATTTCATAAATATTTAATCATTATCTTACTTTGTTTTGAAAGAAAAAATAAACATTTATTCAAATATTCAAATTTCTGTTCCGTTGAAGTACAAAATTAATAAAACTTAGATTAAGAGGGTAAGGTTTTGTATTAAATGTGCAGAAAAAATCCACTAAAAATAGAAGTTATAAATGGAAACCTTCATGTGAGATTATCTTAACTATATGAGAATTACTAGAGAGTTCAGTGGATATTGATGTCAGTGACACGACAGATGAGTCTCTTGATACTTGAGCCATCGTCGATTAATGAAGTACGACATAAAGTTAATATCAGCTTTCTGTGTTCAAAGTAAAAAAATGCATTTAGACATGCGATATCTTAAGGTGTTGACAGATGTGGATGCGATCTTATCCTCACTCACACAACCATCCCCATTAATTTATGAATCTGTCAAAGATTTGAAAACAGAGCAACTCATTTAAATGAACAAGAGCGCTATTCAAGTTTTGATGTGACCGTGAACTAATTCAAATAAAATTATTTTCTTGTATTTCTTTAATTTGTTTCTTATGTCAAACTCAAGTAGCGGAAAATCAATTGTAGGGAGATTCTTCTGTCGGTGCACCATTGACGTCATAATCATTCATAATAATTGATGGTACGAAGTATCTATTTGAATGCTTACTGATTTTGAGGATTTAACAAAAACCGATTTTTTTCATTTGATCCATAAATAATAGCTGAAAAATGACTGTTTGAATTTTTTTCTAAATCATTAATATTCTGATTAATGATTAAAATGGATTTGATTTTATAATAATATTAAATAGAAAATCTTTTACATTCTTGTAAAAAATAGAAATGAATTATGATCAAATATGTATGTCTGTCTGCTAATGATTTTGTTATTTTATTCAATTTGTACGATTACAGTAACTTAATATCAAGTCTCAGTTTCCGATCTATGTCATGTTTTCAAGTAATTAGTGAAAGTCAAACTCGCTAAGCAATCAAGACGATTGATAAACATTTGCAGTACAGTAAGTAACTAACAGTATTATAAATAATCCAATCAATGAAGAAGTATAGTTTTTATTTTACACAAATTCTCTTTCTAGCCGTTGCGAAACAAATAAAAATATATGTTAACTTTATTATTAAAGATTACTGAATTGTATAATGATGAAAATTGTCTTGTTTAAGTATCATTTATTTCAAATCTTTATTATTTATTCATTTGTAATCCAATGTATTTTGACAGTTTATCAAAACTAATTATGTTAAATCATTGCGACAGATCGCTCGTGATGTAAACTGTCAAGCTCTTCGGTTATCCGTCAATAGAAAGCATATGATAATAATTTGAGAATAATTAATTCAAATGTTTTTCTACTTTTCAAAACTATGATCTTACAAGAAACTGGAGGCGTACATGATTACAAATCGATCCATTATCTTTTATGACTCGACATATTGTTCTCCGACACATCCATGATGATAGATATCGTCATAGTGAATATGTTCGTACTATATTGAATGCATTTTGATATCATACTTTAGCTATTAATTTTATATTTGTTTCATCATACGTAATCTCTGGAAAATTGAATTGTGCACGTGTCCTCAGTTGATTGAGTCTTTAAGGTTTTTCCAATATAGTAAGAGAATAGATAGGTTTTGAAAGTAGTATGAAATAGTAGGGCATACTAGACTGACCATTTGAGTAATACCGGAGTGCACTATTATTGAGACATCATTTCTTACGTCTGTGGAGCCAAAACTAATAATAAATTTGAAAGAAATACCTATACGCAACTCGCTGAGTACTATGTAAAGATATGCTCAAGCTTGATCTAAGCTAATCATATCACGAAAAAAAATAAAAATATTCAATAGATCCCGTGAAGAAAATTTCGAATTTTTCGTTAAATTCATGACAATTCGTCTGAATACATAATTCAGTTGTAACTGATGTCATAAACGGTGCCGCATTTTGAGCTTTATTGAACAGTTTATAATTCATGGATGGTTTACGTATTCAGACGAATCATCACAGATATGATATACCCAATCACTGCTTTACGGACTATCCGTTCACTTTCGTAAATTCCAGCGAGCCCTGATTTATCTTTATTTACACGGTTCATTACACTGTTTCAGAGATCTTAAAATTTTGAATCAATTGATGTATTATTTATGACTGATTTTTGCACTCGAAGAAATTATCGTAAGCATAACTGTCTGTAATGCATTCTTTAAAACGTTCCAAAGGTTTTCGAAGATTCTATAGTTTTTATTTCTATCAAATATGCACCAGTCGATAGAACATACAAATCTTGCATGGAGTGATATATAGCATGATTTTCTAATTTTCTTTCATAGTTCAATCGGTAAGTCGAATCGGCTGCTAGCTTTCCATGCATTGGGCACTATTCGTTTCTATGTACTCATATAGTTAATTTAGATTATTTATTTAAGTTTTAATACGTGGTTTAGCAGTTCAAATACTTCAAAATCGTGACGCCGATGCAAGATATACTTCTGAATCTTGTGCATGACTTCATCTCATTTCAATCCTATAATTCTGAATTCCATATTTGATTGTTTCAAACTGTGAAACGGCATCGATCATACGTGTGATCTTGTAATAGTTAGATTGGGTACTGCTAGTTTTCGTGGTATTTGGGATTTGTCAACAACTGATTTTAAAAGATTGATAATCAGTAAATTCTTTATTAACTGTATTCATCCTGTTACTACTCAAACTCATGAATATAGAAATAATTTCAATGATTTGATAAAAGATTTTCACTTTGCAGGGTAGTTTTAACTCTTAGCAGACGAAACATGTACATACAGATATGTTTTGAGCTTTTCTGCTTATTATAATTTTAATAATCGTCTACTCTGTAAGACTATCAGACAGATCTCTTCATCATTCATGTTGCTAACATTACAAGAGAAAAGTATGATATCTCTATACATTACAGAGAAAGGAAAAAAGCAAAGGATTTGATTTTGGAAGTCTTTGAGAATCTATGCAACTTTTATTTCTAATATCTTTTCAATTTCAGTCGAATTCTCTCACATTTATGATTGTAAATCGATCTGTGTCATGATATGAAATTATAGTTGCTTACGAAATTACCTAAAAAATTTTACAATATTGTCTGTACCGATCTACTCGAATTTGTCATGCCGGAATATTGTGAAAATTCATGAAGCATGAGGGAATTCATGTCTTTTTTCCTTGACGTAAATGTTTCAGACTTTTACATATTCAATTGAATAATTCTGCTGATGGGAATGTGCAACATGATGATTAGTGACAGGATATGTAATGTTGAGCAAAAAGTTCCGACTGGCTCGAAGACCGAGATATAGTTCATTATACGACTGAAGAAGCTTTGAATTGTTGTCGTAGAAGTATGCATAGTTATATCAAAGTAATTTTTTTCTCTTAAAACTCTGAAAGTGTCAGTACATCTTTCTGTCAAATACATGAAGAAAAAAATCTTACAACACGCTTTAAGTAATTAATCACATGATTATGATAGAGGTAATCTAGGATGTCGTTATTATTTCGTTGCACATTGCACAGATCATTCTATGCTACATATACTCTAGATATAAATGAGTAAAAACTTTGAATTTTAACATAGTGCATACGGATGATTTTATTTAGTCTCTGCAATGTAATCGAAAGCATATCATTAAATGTTGTAAATTTGATTTATGAATCAAGATAAAACACAATATATTGGTGTTATTGCAATGAAATTTGAAGATTATTGACTTTATTGATTTCGAGCTAATAATAAGATGTTAACGATTGGAAGCAAAAGTACACTTCTAAAATAATTGTAAATATAGCAGTTATGGACGTCCGCATTTTTCATGTGTACTAGTTTACACATGTTTTGCTGACGGAAATGCAATAGTGACTAGGGCTAGTCTTAAAAATTAAATTTTAGAATTTGTTCACTTTTATCCTATTGACAAGTGAATCTATCTGTATATGCTTTTTCATAAATGAAATCTATAAGCTTTATGCAGCATAACGCACCAGCGGCTATAGTTCTTATCTCATGCGATACTGTTGATCTGGGATAAGTGTAGTTGAAGGGAAGAATGTTCCCACACTCAACACTGACTCAATAATAGTTTGTTGTCTTTCCTAATGGATATATTGGATCCTAAGTATTCTTTTACTAACAGACAAGAGGAATTCTCAAAAAATCGATTGTTTGCAAGGTAGATTTTTCTGTTTATTCGATTATCTGATCTGTTGAAACATTTGTAATAAAAATATTGAAGTAAATACACGAACATTATCTTCAACGATCCATAATAGATATTTGTTTGTAAAAGTAGCTCCCTAAAAAAAGAATATCTAAAACTCAGGTATATAACGTAATTTAGAAAATGTCAAAGCATAACTGCTGCCATTTGATTCGAAGCATAATTCTAATTGAAGATATTTACCAATGTATTTTTTATTCTGTTATTTATTATAAAAACAATATGAGTACGAAAATATATTTATTGCACATTGCACAAAAAAACTAGGGTTGAATACAATAATGTTTCATATTAATTATGTGACTGCGTAGTTTGATACGCAATCGAATTTATTGTAGTTTCCCTTTTAGCCAAAAGAGTTAGTTGAACTAAAATTATTCGTCCTAATTTTGAAAATAATTTTCTCTTTATCATTTTAGATTGATATTCTTTGCAAGTGAATGTGAAAAGGCTATACTTGAATGTCTTTTAATCGTAGTTTCGAAAAATCTTTTAACAATGCCAGTAGCTAAAATTAAAGATGCTAATCGACTTTTATGAGAAGTTTTTTTTGATCATATAGACATATATCTCTTGTATTCAAACAGGAATTAGATCGAGATAATGATCGAAGTTTAACTCGAAAACGATGTCAAATATTAGATCGTAGTTTAGAAGATTTTAAAAAAAAATTCTCATTCTTGTGAACAAGGTTTTAAGAAAAATTCTTTTGAGAAAACATAAGAAATACAATCACTTAATTAGCTACTTTTATGATATGCACAAACATCTGATTCATTAATTAAAACATTTGTTAAAACTGAAAAAGAACAGGCAACACAATACATTTTTTTATCAATTTATTAAATTTGACTTCTTGTTAAAGATCTTATAGCATTCGAAGAATGTCTTCGTGAGTTCTAAATTCAAAATGATTTATTTACACATGTAGGCACTGATGACCATAAATTTACTGTAAAAAGTCTTTATAATAAAGAAAAATACTTTAATTAATTCTGATAATTTAGTTGTGACTGCAAATTGTCTTAAAAGTTGTATGACTGAAAATAATCATCTATATATTGAATCGGCTATGTGTGAATCTTCGTTTAAATGATAAAAAATAATCCCTTGAAAACTAAGTATATCAAATTATAATCTATACTTTAAACAGAATTCCAAATTTACTTTTGACCTTGATCATTATTATCTTCTTTTTCCTCAAAAGAACTATTGTTTGTTGTTGTTACTGCTCACATGCTTTATGTCAACACAGTCGACGTGTGTCTAGTGAAGAAAAAAAACCAGAAAGAGCATCATATCACAGTAACTTGAAGCGAACACATCAGTATCATATTGTTCCACTGTTAAAAGAAAAAATTAAAAAGATACAAGACTTTATTTTTCCAAGTATTATTCCTTCATTGTGATGGCTACCAGCAAAAATCAACCGAATAAAATATCAAATTCAACAAAATCTGTCGATCAATCAATAAATTCTAATTTGGAGTCATTCGCATGTTTGTGACTAGATCAAAATGTTAATTCGACACAAGATAATATTCAAACTCAGAAAGAACTTCGTCAAGTGATAAATCATCTTCGAACATTTGATAATATTGATGAACGTGAAAAATACATTCGAAAGATTACAAAAGAAAAAGTTGTTCTCATTGTATCAGGTTCATTAGGTCGACAAATTGTACCTCAACTTCATGATCTTTCACAATTTTCTGCATGTTATGTCTTTTGTCAAGATCAAAAAGCAAACGAACAATGGGCTAATAAATATCACAAGGTTACAAATTTCTATAACGATCAAACTCTTAGTTTTTTTTTTCATCTAAATATTTCAGGTTAATGGTGTTTTCATTGAACGTGCTAAACTTGTTGCTAAAATATCAAAATATCAAGTTGGTCGCAATAAAGTAGAAGATGGTGCTTCAATATCAGTAATTACTTCTGGTTCTCAATCTCTTCAAGTTCGAAATGCTATCTTTATGTGGTTTCAATTGTTTATTGAAGTTCTTCTTCGTATGCATCATAAATCTAATGATCGTAAGGAACTTTTAGACATTTGCAAAAAGAGTTATAAGGGCAATCAACAAGAAATGAAGATTATTGATGAATTTGAAAAGAACTATAAATCAGAAAATGCAATATGGTGGTATACACGTGAATCATGTTTTTATCGAATGATGAATAAAGCATTACGTGCACAAGATTTTGATATGTTATTTGCTCTTCGATTTTTTATTACTGATATTGCTAAACAGATAAAAAATGAACATGATAAATTTATTCGTACTAGTGAAAATCGGAATAAGATTCGTGTTTATCGTGGTCAATTGATTGGAAATGATGAATTTGAATTAATGAAAAATAGCATTGGTGAATTTGTTTCAATGAATTCTTTTTTCTCGACAAGTCGTAATCGACCAACTGCTCTTGATTTTTCTCGAACTACTGCTAAAACTGATAATGTTCAATAAATTATCTTCGAAATAGAAATTGATCCACGTTTACAAACGAAAGCTTTTGCTGACATTACTAGCATAAGTTTTTTTCAAAACGAAGATGAAGTATTGATTATGCTTGGTGCATTGTTTCAAATTGAAAAAGTAAATGAAGATAAAAAGGAAAGAATATGGGTGGCTCATCTATCATTAACAGGCGAAGATGATTTTCATTTGAAAGAAACATTTTCTTACGTGAAAAACACAATTGGTGACGATACTGATTTGGATTCTCTCGGGAAAATTCTATTCGAGATGGATGAATATGAACAAGCACACAAATGCTATAGAAGAATGTTGGATGAAACGCAACTTGCTAGTGGAAATGCAGCATTAGGTTTGGGTAAGGCATGTCTTCGATGCATTGGGACTGACGAAAGTCTTGAGCATTTGGAAGAAGCATTACATATAAGACAACGTCTTTTGGGACACGATCATGCAGACGTTGGAGAGTGTTATACTTGGATCGGAGCGCTGCACTGGTACGTGAGAAAAGATTATGATCAAGTATTATCCAATCTTAAAAAGGTAGTCGAAATTCAAGAAGCAACACTTCCGTCAGCTTCTCTTGCTCTCGCCAGCACTTACCATAACATAGCGGCCGCATACAGATGCATGGAACAATATGATTTGGGTCTAGAATATTATAGAAAAGCTCTCGAGATTCGAGAAAAAGTTTTACCTAGTAATCATTCACAGATTGTGGGAACGTACTATAATCTAGCATCACTATATGACAGTAAAGGAAATTATTCAAAAGCACTAGAATACTTGGAAAAATCAATGGACATTAAGCGCAAAATTTTACCACCTACTCATGAGGAACTTATTCTAAATGAAGATAGTATTCGTAGAGTGAAAAATAAAATGAAGAAATAGTTTGATACACAATTAAAGAACTACAATCTAGCATTCTTCCCCTTGTTCACGCACGATTATTCGTTGTTCACCTTTTTTACAATAAAAACACACTGTTTTACAATAATGTTAAGATAGGAGCAGTACTAATGACAAATAATATTCAACTGCTAAATGTCGTTCGATCTCATCTTTTGGCTGTGTGTAGGATGTAGATGTGAGTGTCTTCTTTTTATCGACACATACATCCACACTTTTTATAATTTCATTTTATATTATTCAATTCGAACTAAGTCATCGTTTAAGAAACATCTCTAAACTTATTTTCTTCCGACTCAATGCCAACGATCAATATTTAATTTCGACAGTTCTCAATTCAACTAAAAGAAAACAATGCAATGATATTTTTATTCTAATTTCATCCATGTTTATCGAATGTTTTTCTTCCTGCTCAGAAAAAGCCAAGCACAATAAAACAATATCCAAGCGATATTTAAATAGCTATGTTTATTTATGAAATAGTTGTTGAAATTAAAAAGTTATTAACTCTGAGATATTGATAAGAAAAATAAATAAATAGCTATTTGTTCATTAAAAGTAAATATATTATTACGGAATTATTTTATAGATTTCTGCTGATTATATTGATCAATTTTCTCAATGCAAAATTTGTCTCCGTTTCCAGAATGAGCCATTGATGAAGATTGATGTTTAAAAAATGTGCCATGTTGAAAGCTATATGAGAAATATTCAATTAAACAAATGTCTCATGTTAGTTTCTAGTCAAAAGTCATACTCAATTCTATTTATTTCACTTTATGCATTCAAATGTGATGGAGAAAGAAAACCGTTTTTGACGAATCCTCTTATGTTGTTTAAAGCACTACTTCTCTTCTTTCTCATGATTTTTTATCAAAAGACGACAAACAAAATGAAAAGCAACACTCATAAATTTTTTAGTAAAGTTGAGCCACCATATTCAGAAACCCGCTTATATCCACTCTAGGCAATCAGCGTCATCTGCACATCGGTAGCTCATTTTTTTAAATAATATGAAGAGAAAAATGTTGAGGAGAAAAAAAACCTTGCAAACGATCAACCAGTGCATACTACGACATTTCATTACTCAATTTCAAAGTTCTGAGCAAAGATCAATATGACAGATGATAGATTTTTGTCACACATTCTAAAGAAATTACGGTATAAATTAATCAATTTGAATTTGTATGCAGAAAACAATCAACCAAACACAATAACACCGTCTGATCATTGGAAAATTCGCATGCAACTCTGGTCTACACGACTCTTTCTCGTCACTATGCTTGTTACTCTTATACTATTAGTTAGTATCACGGCGAGTTTGAAACATTTAGTAATCATAACAATCAAACATCCAACAGTACAAATATACAATGATCTTCTAATGCGATACGATGGTCCAGCACACTGCCCTTGCTCTCGTATCGATACACCTTTAGGAGACTATGTCAACATCACCACAACATATCATCAAGTCTGTTCAAGTTATTTTGTAACTCAATCATGGATTGATCGTTCTTATGGTGCCAATGTGTCTTCTATTTGGCCAATGGATACTCGAACAATCATCAGTGCACATGCACAATTATTGCGATCAATGTGCACATTGAGCCAATCAATTGTAGAAGATGCGATTTTAGCGTTAGCCTCAACTTCGCTCATCAACACTGAAAGTGTGTCCTTGTCTTTCTTGACTACTGAAATCAATACACGTGTTAATCAGTTTCTTATAACAACGGCTAGTTCTTTAACTCTACAATTAGCTGCAATTCTCCATGTAAACAATGATAATCAACTTATATCTGGGTTAGGTACTAATTCCATCATAGTGTTACCAACTCTAGGTATCTCCGCATACAAACTACTTTTGGTACGCATTCCTGTCTATTATCTCGCCTCGTCGCTCATACCTGCCTGTACGTGCTCAACACAACAAAATTGTAGCTTGCCAAGTGCAATCTATGCAAACGAACAAACTATAAACGAGTCGATGCGAAATACCGGCTTCATTAATCATTTCATCGTCGCAGACAATTCATCGATTCTAGTGTCCGGATTAAAGTCGGCTTGTAAGTTCATTGATCTGTATCGATATCATTGAAATAGTGTTCATTTGATGTTAGGTTTACCAATGGATAGTTTTCTAGCTTCGACGCTCGAATGCTATTACAGTGTGTCATGCATCAATTTGGTTGTTCCTTCTATGATGGATATCGAGGTTCTCGATATTCATAAGGAAACACGTTTTAATGTTGAAGAAACCATCATTCAATCACTGATTGATGCTTTATTCCTTGAAAAGTGGCAGGCCAATATCGATTATAATCAATTCTTTGCTAAATGTGCTCCATTAACTTGTTCGTACACCGTCCTGCAACATAGTGGATTTCTTGCCATACTAATGGATATCTTAGCTCTGATTGGTGGATTGAACACAATCCTCCGATTCTTCTGTCCTTGGATAGTGCGAGTTTTCGTTCGAATAATCAGAATAAAGTCGATGACTCAAACTGCTCGACCAGGTAGAATGTTTCTCTATACAATTCTATATATCTGACTATTATTTACCTTGCTTTGTTGTAGCAACAAGTTTGTTGGACATGATGCGAGCGATAATAGCAACGGTAAAGTATAAGATTTTAACTCTGAATCTCTTTAAAACCCATTCGCAACGTTCTGAAAACATACGACATCAACTATGGGCTACTCGAGCTTATACACTGATTTTTCTTGGTGCCATGATTACTTTAACTTTTTACACTCTTCTCGTTCAGCGATCGATGCTGACTACTGTCAAGCGGCCAAGCCAAGAAGAGTATGAGGGCTTACTAGCACTCTATCCAGAAACACTTCAATGTGATTGTAAAGAAGTTACTATCTCTTACGGTAATTTGGTCACAGTCGACGTATTGTTTCATCATATTTGTTCGAGTGACTTTGTTGAGTCTACTTTCTCATCTCAATTCAGTTCAATCAGTATCACGGTCTCTTATAGTGATTTTGCCATGTATGCATCGAGTTATTTTCACTTGATTCGTTCACTTTGCGACCTAGTCCAATCGACAATCAGCGATGCTTACAGCAGGTTTAAATCGATCGAATATGTCAGCAAACGCCTATTAACTCCGGAGATCTTTCTGAAACAAATGACCATCTACATCGATGGATTTACGAATTCGACAAGGAACAACTTTGTACGATCACTTTATTTTACACAGGAAATGACATGGGCTAACAATCTCCTGTCGAATCTCCTTGAAAATAATGGTATGTATCTCGATTTACAATTTCTTGTTCGATCTCAATCAGTACGGTTGAATTCAACGTGTCTATGCAGCTTTTCTATCACATGCCAAGCATCCGGTCAATTCATCCACTTTTCGACCGACTTAGACGTATTAGTTGTTCAATGGAAAATTCCCGGCATCATACAGGCATGTTTCGCAATTGAATCGGTCATGCAATCAACACTCGAATGTTGGTACGACCAAAACTGTTTGAATACATTCGCTGATTACATTTTGGAAAGATTAAATCGACCATTCATTCGTCCACAGCCACTCAATTCTTCAATGACTCGATATCCAATAAATACAGCATTTGGAGATATTCTCAACGAATTACTCGTTGAGCAATGGTCTATAAATATCAATTTCACGTCTTACTTTTTACAGTGTTCTCCACAAACTTGTAATTACACAGAAACGAAACGTAATGATCTCGTAATATTAATCAAGACCCTTGCTGGAGTCTTTAGTGGTCTCAATAATGTTCTACGTATTTTTATTCCATTCGCGGTGTATCTATTCTTTTCTACCTATTACAATTGTATTAGTCAATCGAATAGGAGAATTGGTAAGTATCTATATACGAATAAGAATCTGATTATATACGAAAACTACTCATGACTGGAAAACATCAGCGCTATACGTTGAATATCCATTTTGATTAGAGATCAGAAAATGTGAGTATGTTCATGAGTGAGTTTGTCTCGGAATACTCATTTCGTGTCTCTGATTAATTCTCAATAGTCAATATCAGTGATTTCGAGAATATTGCCAAAATCAATCTTTAGTAAAAGTAGCAACATAAGAACAATTTTTGAGGAATAACTCATCTTAATGGCCAATACAATATTCAGACGATCAAGAGATCTACTAATTGACTATTGAAGATATAACTGTATTGCTTGTTCAAATGTCTCGTCGAAAAATAATTCTCTACAACTTAAATGTTTTTCCAAATTAATTAACAAGTTTCATTTCAAACGATAGATGAGATGAGATTAAGGGTGTGTATTCCCTTTTTTCACGTCCACAACCAAAATCTGGAATGATTGAAAAAGGATCCTGATATTGAACTAGAAATAGAAAACAAACTGAATTTCTGCATTTGATTGAAGCCAATGACACTGAATAGTGTTTTTGAATTTATCTTGATCTTTTGAGTATTGATATATGAATGGTTGCATTTTTTTTTTAACCACAACCATACTCAAGCACTCTCTCATCGATACTTGACGATAGTATCAATGCCTAGAAATCACGATTATTGGTTTATTAATTGTGATAAATGATGGAGTTCTGTGAATTTACTTCGTTAGAGAACTTTCGAAACACTGAAACAAAAGTCTAGGTAGCTAAATATTGAAAATCATTCGATTTGAAATTGTTTTTTTATAGTCATTTCGGAAAAAAGTCTAACACAAGTGCGGCAAAGTAGACTGACTCGTCTAAAGAAGATGATTGGTACGATGAATCTATTTGAAGATACACCTTCATGTGACGAAAAATTTCAGCGATATGGTACACGTATTTATGTATGTGTATTCATTAGTGTTCTCGCCTTTTTTATTATTTACAAATTATTTGACAAACAAATAGTCATGATAACTGTAGAAACTCCTTCTCAACCGACGTATATTGAACTTCTTAATACCATTTCTTCTCAATCGTACAATGATTTTAAATGTCCATGTTCGTCGATAGCATTTTCCTATCGACATGTGGTTAACAACTTTTCAGCATCAATGCACCAAATTTGCAGTAGTATGTTTATGAACAATGAGTGGCTTAAATTGTTTCAAATGCCCTATGAACTTCAGTATCAATTCGATCGTCCCATAACAGACATCCGACAATATGGTGCATCTTTTTATTTAAATTTGAAATCGTTGTGCATCTTGGCCAACACTACCATTCAAGAATATCAGAATCAATTTTATGACCAACAATTGATTTCATCTGATCTGATGAATCGTATCGAATTTGAATTTAAGTTCAATAAAACAATTGATAAGCTCCGACGAACAATTTCAGTTGATGTTATTAGAATGCTCGAAGTGACACGTGGTATCATGCATGGAAATCAATATGTGAGTGCTTACTTTACGAATTGGCAATATCAAATTCGATCAGATTACAGAATGCCTTTGTATCCCATACCGTCACGACCAGTATTACATGGAGTTGATTGCTCATGTGCTCAATCTTCCCAATGCTTTGAGAACGCATTTTTCACAGATTGGTATACAGATGAGATATTTTTTGTACCAGGAATGTTAATTGGATGTAAGTATTTGCTTTAGATTCTACTCATGAAAGCTCTTTCTGTCTTATCTTTAAGGCTATCCAATCGAAGGATTATTACATTCCACTCTGGAATGTTTATATTCTCAATCATGCGTTGATCGTATGATGGATCAATATCTTTTCTATTTGAACATTCGACGATCACCACTTGCTCTTAACCAATCGATCCCATCCCGATTTCAGCCGGAAACTACAGTTATTGAACTCTTTCGTGAGTTGTTTATTGAAGAATATTCGGCGTTTGTATGTTGTACAAGAATTTATTGCATCCACTAGTTTTCTTTTTTATTTTTCATCATCTAGGCATCCTATGATAATTACTATTCTCAATGTGCCCCTGCATACTGCTCCTATACGAAAGAAGCTCGAATAGGATTTTTCGACATTGCTATTACAACACTTAGTGTTTACGGTGGGCTCGTTGTCATCTTGCGTTTAATTATGGTTTATGGCATTCGAATTTTATGGAAAATCTATCGCCGACAAGTGGTACCAGCTCATTTTTCAGGAGACATTCAATCTGTTTCTAACACGAAATAAAGGACGGGGGCGTATAAGGGTCATTTTTGGGCCCTCGTCAATTTTGGTTGATTCATAGTTTACTAGATGCAGAATTTCACGAGGAATCGTTTGGTATCAAAATATAGCTATTTCAGAAGAGTCTAGATGGACTTTTGCTGAAAATACTAACATATATTTTGTACCATAAATCGATCATTCATACATGGACATGTGATCCATGTAAATTTTCCTATCTTAAGATATANTTTGATATGCTATTTGCTCTTCGATTTTTTATTACTGATATTGCTAAACAGATAAAAAATGAACATGATAAATTTATTCGTACTAGTGAAAATCGGAATAAGATTCGTGTTTATCGTGGTCAATTGATTGGAAATGATGAACTTGAATTAATGAAAAATAGCATTGGTGAATTTGTTTCAATGAATTCTTTTTATCGACAAGTCGTAATCGATCAACTGCTCTTGATTTTTCTCGAACTACTGCTAAAACTGATAATGTTCAATAAATTACCTTCGAAATAGAAATTGATCCACGTTTACAAACGAAAGCTTTTGCTGACATTACTAACATTAGTTTTTTTCAAAACGAAGATGAAGTATTGATTATGCTTGGTGCATTGTTTCGAATTGAAAAAGTAAATGAAGATAAAAAGGAAAGAATATCGGTGGCTCATCTATCGTTAGCAGGCGAAGATGATTTTCATTTGAAAGAAACATTTTCTTACGTGAAAAACACAATTGGTGACAATACTGATTTGGATTCTCTCGGGAAAATTCTATTCGAGATGGGTGAATATGAACAAGCACACAAATGCTATAGAAGAATGTTGAATGAGGCTCAGCTTGCTAGTGGAAACGCAGAATTAGGTTTAGGTAAAGTCTGTGCTCTGTGGAAGAAAACTGACGAAAGTCTTGAGCATTTGGAAGAAGCATTACATATAAAACAACATCTTTTGGGACAAGATCATGTAGATATTGGAGAGTGTTATACTTGGATTGGAGCGATACACTGGAACGTGCGAGAAGATTATGAACAGGCATTGTCCAATCTTAAAAAAGCCGTTAAAATCCAAGAAGCAACACTTCCATCTGATTCTCTTGTTCTCGCTAAGACTTATCATCAGATAGCAGCCACATACTACTGCTTGGGACAGAATGATTGTAGTCTATATTATTATAGCAAAACTCTCAAGATCCGAGAAGCTGTCTTACCTTGTAATCACCCAGAGATTGCTGGAACGTACAATAATCTAGGAAGATTATACGAAAGTAAAGAAAATTATTCAAGAGCACTAGAATACTATAGACAAGCGATGGATATTTGGCGCAAAATTTTACCACCTACTCATGACAATGTTATTATGATCGAAAAGAATATTATTAGACTGAAAGAGAAAATGAAAAAATAGTTTGATATTCAATTGAAGAAGTACAACCTAACATTCATCTACGTTAGTATCATATTCGCAAGTGATTATTCATTGTTCACTTTCTATTTCTGCAACAAGAACATTCTTTTTGACAGTAATGTCAAAACAGGGACATTACCAGCTTCATATTTTTCTATGCAATTGTCTTGAAACTGTACTTTTTTCACTCGTTTCTATAAAAGATTGAATAAAATTTACGGATTTCTAGCTTGAATGTTCGACTAGCTTACAGAATCATCAAAATAAGTATGATGAATACATGATGATGTTGCCCTTAATGTAATCATCAGTACTTGGTCAGTTGTGAAGTTTTCAACTTACAATATATCAACATACATCATGGCTGTTCACAAGTTAGTTAACTTGAGAAAAAAGTTAAATGCAGCAAGATTCAGTTCATGCATGAATATTTTTTAATTTTAAACTGAACAGAAACACTGAGTTTTATTTACGTGTGATAAAATGCACAAATATGAAATTTTGCTTAAACTAAATGAAATACTTGAAAACATTTTTGGAAATAATTGAATCAGTATATTCTAACAGTAACAATTATGGACAATAAGGAGTGCATCTAATATTTATAGAGAATTTCAACCTTACTAGTTGCGTTTTTCAAGAGAAAAATGGAAAAACTCAGTGGAGGTTCAGAGAAGTTGTTTTCTTGTTTTCAATGAAAGACTACTATGATAAATAGAAGAAAAATGTCTGACACATTACTAAACTATTTACTGAATATTTTGCTTAACTTCTGGTGTGCAACATCAAGGAAGGTTATCAGAAAAAATAGGTAGTACTCATAAATATTCATTGCTAGGAGCATCATTTTTCCTTCTTTTTTTGTTCTCACACTAGATACAGGCAGTGTTACTCCTTGAATCACTACAATCAACGAAAACAAATTGAAAAATTGCGTTGATTATAGCAATCCAAGCGGTAACACTGAGACACACCTTACTTTCATTCTTTTTTTCATAATTCATCGATATTTCTACCATGTTTCAACCAATATGCACGCATACATAAGTGTTCCTCACGCAAAACATTTGTGCATTCAACAAGTTTTAGTGAGTTCTCTCCGTTTGCCTTTTGAGTACGATAAAAAAATGTCGTTTGTTGAAAAAGCTCAGTATTTCTGAGTTAAACAGTTGCATAGCTAGTTAATGAAAGACAAAAATAGTTTTTTTTTTGGTTCTCAGCATTTTACGCGAAAAATAGCTTTTAGAAATTATACAGAACCCAAACGTTTGTGTGCTTGATGAAGGAAGCGTTCATCAAATTGAGTTTTTAAAGCTGACAAATGTTGAAGATCATGTCATAGTAAATTTAACAACTTCATTTTGTCAACTATTGATGTATGTGTGAAGAATTAGAATATTTATCAATAAAAAATCAACAAGAAATTCTATTACCATGAAGTAGTAAATTACTCTGTTTGGAACAGAAAAAGAAAGAGTTCGTGGAAGTCAGAGCGGATTTATCAATCGAAAAAAATTCTACTATAGAATTACCTGATGAATAAGACCATGTGTTTGCTTTGTTAGAAAGATGTAAACAACGTTTTTGTAACTCTAATTGTCTTTTGGTTGTTTTAAGTTCTATTTCGTTCTTTGAAATTTTTTTTCCAATCTTTTTGAACTTTCAAAATTGGCAAACGATTCTGTTGGTTAACAACAATGTTGGTATCATTTTAGGAACATAAAAACCGGTCATGTTAAAGAATGCAACAAGAAGCATTGATGTTTATACAAGTGAAACATTCATATTAAGTGATGATGGTGGATGGTGTTGGTTTGAATATCCAGGAGCACTTCAATATGGTTCTCTCCTTTTCGTAGGATCAGTTGCATCAGGTGGTCATGATAAAAAACGTCATGGTAATATTGAACTTCATATTCATGATTGTTCGACTCATGTTACAGATCATGTGATATTACATGAACAATTTGAATTAGATGATCATGATGGACCTGCTTTACTTATAAGACCTGATGATCGACTATTTATTTTCTATGCAAAACATGGCACAGAACCATATAATTACTCACATATGTCTCTTATTAATGAAAATACTTATTGTCAATTTAGTCCAGTTCAACTTTATGCACCATCACCAACTACCGAACTTACATATGCAAATCTATTTCTACTTTCAAATGAATCGAATCGTATTTATAATTTTTTTCGAGGTCTTGATGGTTCCTACAAACCATTATATATTTACTCGGATGATCTTGGAACAACTTGGCATAATGGTAATATTTATATAAACGTTCTATGAACACAAAAACATCGACCGTATGTACGATATACATCCGATAAACGTGATACAATACATATGGTATACACAAAAGGCCATCCACGTGATTATAATAATAGTTTATATCATATTTATTATCGAGCTGGACAATTATATCAATCGAATGGCACAAAATTATATTCATTACAAGTTGAACTCGATTTACCATATCAAGGTACCCAAATTTTTCGTGGTGATGCACAACATGTTGCATGGATTGTTGATCTTGTCTTAGATAATAATGATTATCCAGTATGTATTTATAGTGTTCAATACAATTCAGCCGGTCTTCCTGTAGGTCAAGGTGGTGATGATTTACGATATTTTTATGCACGATGGCATGGTTCTATTTGGTATAATTATTCACTTGCCTATGCTGGTTGCCGTCTCTATGCTGGTGAAGATGATTATAGTGGTTTGGCTGCAATTGAACCTGATAATCCATCTACAGTTTATATATCGACAAACAGTGATCCATTGACAGGAAATCCACTTATTAGTCGCAACGATGAACAACGTCACTATGAACTTTTTTGTGGTAAAACAAATGATAGTGGACAAACATGGGCATGGACAGCACTGACTAGTGATTCAAATGCAGATAATTTGCGGTCTATATAGACCGCGATGCACAGAAAAAACGAACTCAAATCGATATCGTGCATTAGTATGGTTAAGAGGCAAGTATCGTGCTTATACAGATTATTTACAAGAAGTTGTTGCACGTATATGGGAAATAAATGACGAAGAAAAAGAATGAAGAAACCAAATAGTACAACCGAGCTTTTCTTGTTTTTTTTTCTATAGAATATAATTTTGAGGGTATCTATAAATGAATCTAATTGCAATTTTTTTAAAATTTGTTTGCTGTCGTAAATAATTGTTTTATGATTTAATTAATATTTTAAACAACATTATTTTCAAATAAATTGTTTAGTATGTATCAAAACATAATACATGTTAATTAAACTTGAAAAGAATGAACCATCATCCTTATGCTCTCTATTCGGTTAACATTTTTTATTAAGCTCTTCAATCATGACGATAAAATTTTTGTCGAAACATATATCGAACTCTAAATTTTTGAGTCTTTGCATGCATATGATCCAAATTGAACAAGAAAATGCATATAAATGGATATTTTACATATTCATACGAGAAAGAACAATGAAGATAAGAGTTTAATACGTGTATACACTGGTAGAATAGATCTTTCTAGCGGCTACATGACCATTTCTTGTCTGCTTGAAGTAATGTTATGCGCCAGGTAGTAAACTTCTTATCTCATGCGATATTGTTTCACGAATAATAACGATTGAAATTCATGAACAATCGTTTGCTGTCTAATATCATATTTATTTTCAATTAAATCATTTAGATCCCGAATTATTACATCAATGTTACTATAAATATTAAGGAAATTGTAATGATTTGTTCGAGTGTTAATGTAATAAACAATCGATTGCTATCTTATCAACTATCCATTATATTGTGCATGATGTAATAACGAATTATCAAGGTGAAATTATACATGAAAAAGACGTTATGATGAATGAATTGTATAAGGCCGGAAAAGTGCCTTGGGCTAGAGCTAATGGAACTAATGGACTTGAAGGAAGTTGATTTTATCAAAGCTTGTCGCTTTTGGACGAGCTTATGTGTACTAATACGAGTACAATAGACTGAACTTCGATTGGCTTGTGAAACATGTTAAGAGAAGAAAATGATGGGTTTTTTTAAAACTAACTATTGATGAAGAAAATTATCTAGTATGTACAGAATTCATATAAAGGATGATTGAAAAATTTTTCGATAAAATGTTTGTTCACTTTTGATGTATTTTTGACGAATTAAAAGCTATGATTTTGTGCTCTTTTCAAATATGAACTAAGAAATTTTGTTCAAGAATAGGAAAATAATCTTTGAAAGACTCAAAAGATTAATTTGTATGGATATTCTTTTTTGCAATTAGAAACAAAAAAGTTACAATCTTTATTTATATATCAACTTGTAGATTAGAAGTTACTCTATAGAATGCATTGTTTGAAGTTGCTTTTTTGTCTTTCTACAAGTAGCCTCAAATTTCGTTTTTCTTGAATTCTCATTTTTGAAAAATCAACAACCGTTTTACGCTTAACACCAATAGTTTTTAGCATATTCGAAAAAAGAACTTGAAAGAAAACAAAAACCTATTGGCTAAATCATTTTTCAGGTCTTTCAAAAAATCCTACAACAACAATAGACAATATTTCTAAGCTCATATTCAAATGTCCGTTGGCTCACCTGAAATGCTTTCAAACAGACCAAAATGAACAAACATGTTCATTGGGAATTAAACTAATTTTTTGAATTTTTCAAAAATATTTTCACTACTCTCAAACAAAATTTCAAATTGCATATTCGAAAACAGCACAAAATTGTAGCTTTTGCCTCGTCGAAGATACTTCAACAATGAACAAACATCTTGTCAATTACTTCATTGATCTGATGTGTGTAAATTGAATATGAGCATCCAGTATTGCTTAAGAATTTTCGAGCATCATTTTTCAATTCTTTTAAAATAACAAGTTAATAAAATCATCAAATCTATTAAATATCGGATTGCTCATGAGAAATAAAAATCATTATCAATCACTTTCTACGAAAATGTCGTGTTTAATAAAGTTTTTATCGTTGACATTTAACTATTGAATTATAATCGTTTTGATATTTTACGCGTAAATCTTTTTGTTCAATATATTGTATAGAAAATTTTTTTTCAATTAATTTTTCATGAAATTCATTAACTAATTGACGAATACCATCATTACGTAATTCATAACAACATAATAAACATGTTTGAGAATTTTCAGGACATAAATTACATATTGTTTTTATTAATTCATCTAATTCAATTGAATGATATACACAATTAGCAACAATAACAAAATCAAGATTTTGAAAATAATCATCATTTGCATTCAAATCATCACCCCAAAATAATGTTTTAGCTTGTGCTTGTCCTGTAAGAACATGTTGATTTTTTTTAATATTATAATTAATTAACTCAAGATATTCTTCACGATCAGTTAAAGTAACATTACCACCTAATGCACATAATTGTAATCCAACAACACCAGTTCCACTACCTATTTCAACAATACGTTTATTTTTAAATTGATTAAACATATGATCATAACAATATTCAGCTAAACATATTGCCGATTCCCAACACCAACTACCAACAGAACCAACTTTTGTTTGATAAATTTCAAGTGATTCATTATGTTCATTTAATAGAGTTGTTAAAGGAAATAAATGATTTTCGAATACATTTAAATAACAGACTTTTATTTTAGCCATGTTTGGTTGTCCTTGGAACTGAGAAGAAAACAACAATCTTGGAAGAATACGGATATATTTCCTTTTCCTATTCTCCAATCATATGTGTACTGACAAAATAGCAAGACACAAGATGATATAATATACCATTCATCTACACATCGTATGGAAGAAAAACATGGAATACTGACGATTGATCATCAAAAGAATTATACGTGTAGATGACTAAAAAAAGTACATGAATCAATGAAATGCATTTATTAGATATTTTTCAGTTTTCTTAATCTGTCAGAGATATGATAGACATAAATATTTTGTCATATTGTCTTTGTATTATAAAAAGAATTCTTCATTTTATATTTAGTTCCCAGTAGTCGCATAGTGATAAAAATAGACGTGAACAAAGTTTACAAAAAGACTTGTTTGAATGTTATATTCCTGTTTTTGCATAGTCGTTACTTATCATCTATATGTTACATTTCTGTTATATGTGTGAACATTTTTCAGTCCATTAAAAAGATAGCTGATCTCTATTAAGTGATTAATAACCAAACAAAAAAACACAGAAAAACAATTGATGTGTGTGTTAGAAATGAGAATGGAAAATAATATTATTACACTACATTTTAACAAGTCATTCTTATATGTAAAAACGTTGATTGAATGGATACTATTTTTTGTTTTAAACGTGATCTAAAAGGAGTGTTGAAGTATAAGAGTAAAAATCGGAATCCCCTTTCCCCATAGACGTGACAAACACCTTAACAAGGTCTCTCCAATGTGGCAAACATAACCGCGAGGTCGAAGCCTACTGTGGAATTAGAATGATAGTTGTCCTTCACTTTTTTTTTCACACTCACTGTAATGTATTGTGATTAATATCTTTCATCATCGACATACATTAACAATAGGTAGAAATTCGTAAACCGCAACATATATTGATTAATCTCCTCTTTTACATTACTAGCAGCTTCATCACGTTTCACATTTTAATTCTATAGAGATTGTACTAACAGCTTTCTTTTTACTGACGTATTCATTAATCATTTGTATAAGATTCATTTCTTGATTTCTGCAAACAATAAAAAAAAATCATATTTCCTTTTCTAAATATTTTATTTCAAATAAAGATAGGAAATGATTCCTAAAGAATAAACTAAATAAGACCAATATATCTGGTCTTATCTTATGTCTTTTTTCTAATCATTGAAAATAATCTTTTAATAATAAAACACATAAAAAAAAGATTAATTGAATAACTAATCTATTCAAATTACAAAAAAAAAAGAAAAATATTATCTTTTATCTTAATGTGGAATTGATTCCTTTTTCAAGCCATATTGAGCTAATTGAGCATATACATTTTCTGTATTATCTAACAAATAAAAAAGTAAAAACAAAAAACTTATAAAAACTTCTGTCGAAATAAATATTTCATACTTTCTTGACCGATCGGATGTTCACTCCATTCATTTTGACTCATCGATGATAATGATTCATCGATAAGATTTTCATAGGTAGGAGCATAAATATTATTATCTATATCACTATGAACAGCTTTATCTGTTGTATTATTACCTGAAAAACGTTTTTCATGTTTAACTTGGTCCAATGAATTATTTGCTAATTTTTTTATTATTTCATGATCGGTTAAAAGTGGTGGTGACTAAATTAAATAGAATATTATTATTATTATTCAAAATAAAACAAAAAAACTGTAACATACAAGATCTTCTGTAATACCAAGTTCTTTTGCTTGTGCTAATAAATCTTTTGCATCAAGTAAAGAATCTCCATAACGTGCTGAATATTTTTGGGGGTCTTCAGGTGTAATACCAAGTCGTTCAAATTGACGGACAACTTTTACTTGAACATTATCATATCTTAAATAATTGAAATATAGAAAATAAAAAACAACAAGGAAGTGTTTTTTACGTAATGATAACATTTTTCGGTGGTGGATATAGTTTTGGTTCTTTACATCGTTGAATAATAACTTTACGTTTTTGTGCCATAGATTCATAAGGTATCCAACGTTCAATGATAATATCACGTGGTTTAGGTGGTAATGAAGGTACTCTTTCAATAACAATTGAACGTGGTGGAGGTGGAGCTGGAGGAAGAGTTTTTGTTAAAACTTGTGCTAATTATATAATGAATATATTGATTTAATAAACTAAAAAAAAGGAACCTGTAATTTACTTCTAGTGACTTCCGGTACACGTGGAGGTTTTTCACGAAGAATAATAGGTGGTTGTGAAACAGGAGGTATAGGACGTTGACGAATAAGCTTTTGTGAAAATAAAGATTTTTTTTCATTAGATAGATAAAAATTTTAACATACGAGAGGTGGTGGTGGTGGAGGTTGAGGTGGACGAACTTCACGAATAATTAAAGGTCCTTGTGGAACAGGTGGTGGTTTTAAAAATTTAATTCTTATATTTTGTTTATACGTAAGTGGAGAAACCAATAGTGGTTTTCGTATTAATTCTGGATTTGGATCAACATAAAGTTGTCTTGAACGAACAAATGTTTCATAATCGATTGTAGAATCTACTTCTTCCGCTGCATTTTGTTTCAATTGATCTTTATTTTCTGTATCATCTGGATGTTGAAATCCAAAACTTACTGTTATTTCATCCATTGAATCTGATTGTGATATATTTCGATAATGTTCATCATCTGTTGATATATTATTTGATAAATGTTTCCAACTTTGCATTATATTATCTTCATTACTTGTATCAGGTACAGCTTCAAGATCAATACTTGCTATTTGAGATTCTTTTTCAATATTAATTGATTGATTTTCATTATGATGTGGTAATTTTGAATAATCATTTGAAAATGATGATGATGATAAACGTTGTCCGAATGATAAATCAGAATTTTGTCGTTGTATTGGTACATCACCAGCAGATGTTATTTGGTCTTCTTCATCGACAAGCGATGTAAGGCTTCCTTGTCGATGAGAAAATCCATTTTCATCATGAGATATTGTAGACATTATTATTTCTTCGTATTTTAATTAAGAAGAATCAGTCTCTCTTAAGTAAATGTCAATAATGACAAATAAAAATTACTAGAACTAGGATGGTTCGTTTTTTTTTTGACTGACTGTTTCTTTTTTCTTTTATTCATCAATTGAAAAGGGCACATAAGAAAGTGTTAATAATCAATCAAGTGTAACATTTGGCTTCTTTAGCCTTGATATTGATAGTTCATATCAAGAGTTACTGATCTATCTTATAGACAAGGTTCTTGTATGCAAGTCCCTTTACAATATGAAACAAGTGATAGATAAATATTTTATTACGCTCTTTTGTTGATAATTATTTACATCATTATCAATTATGTCAAAACATTAGTCACACAATTTAATTCATACCTATAAAAAGATGCGAGAGGGCAAGTTATATATGTTAGAAATAAAATAACACTTGGTTTTTATGCATCAAGAATATGTCACAAGAAATTAATAAATAAATATATATTATTTTAATAACAATAGAAATAACCATGATTGCATAAGAAAAATTTTTAAACAATATATCAATGAATTTTATCTTCTATTTAAATCAATAGTGAAATTGAACAGCGTTTTTTTTTTGTTCATTTGTACAACACATTGACTACATGTTGATTATTTATGAGATGATTATAGATATTTGAAATCGTCAGACTTTCATGTTTTATAGATTCATTCGATTTGAAATATGAATAAATAAATAATTATGATTCATGTTTTCTTTGTACATAGCTAAGTAGTACTAAATGCATAAATTATTAATTGTAGTTTGCTTTACTTATTTAATTTCTATATTTTTTTTTTCAATCATAGAAAATTATTCTACATATATGATCCTTTTTTTTGTCTTAGTGATTATAAAATTGTGTATATAATTATATATAATTAAGTAGACTAAACTCTTTCCTGTTACTGGTTTTTTTCTCATGTAATTATTATTTAGCGAAAAAAAGATATTTTTATACATTGTGATCATGAATATAAATAATTAATTACAAACGTGGAAGTCAGACTAAGAATAAGAAGAACTAACAAAAACAATCAGTGGTATTAAATATTTTTTTTTTTGTTCAAAACAATGCATTGTGACATACAATAACGACTTTTGGTTTCTGCATTTTCACAATGACTATCTCAAGATGATAATTGATAATGTCATATTTAATCTTAAAGAAGGAAAAAAAGTTTCCTGCTTTTTTATTAGAAAAAAAGAGAAAAATTTAGGAGTAATAATTATGAAAACGGAAGAAAGATTAAATTTGCTTTTATTGGAAATGGCTTAAGAATAAGTGGACTATGAAGTAATTTTCAATAAAAAAAAGTTCATTTAGTCTACTTATCTAAAAATATTTCCATAATTAATTGATTTTAATCTCTAATTTTGATTAATGAATATATAGAAAATATTGAAAAAATTAGTTCAGCGTCTGAGAAAGAAAATTATATTATTTCAATTAACCAAATGTACTGGTCAGTAGAATATAATGATAGATTGCAATATGAATGCAATAACCATTCATTTCATCTTTTTTTTTTCATTTTTTTTCTATATCAACCCAATGATGCTCTCATTTTTATCTCTCATGGGAAATCATTTCGATGATCAGAAATACTATAGAAGATATGATGTCTTCTCAGACAAGAACATAAAATGACTAGTCACTCATCATCTTCAATACAGTTCAAGCAAAACTTCAAAAGAAAACAATTTGATAAGAGAGCAGATGCTATTCAATTAGATGAGCTTAACTTCTATAAATACATCTTTGCTAAAAAGAAAAAAAACTTATTTTGCATATCATCTGCTTCTTTATCATGAGTAGAAAAAAGAATTGTTTTAGTTTTGTTTGTTGAAAGCATTTATAAAAATTCATTTAACCCTACATTTACGCATCTGCTCAGTAAGCCGTCGTTAAGATGAACGACGATGAAAATAATTATTCAAAATGACATTCAATGTCACTTGTATGTATTTACATAAAAATATAATCTTCTCATTCAATACTTTTTCAAAAACGTTTACATTGATGTTGACGAATTGTTTGACTATTAGACTTGTAAATAAAATTTTTTATTAACTTCTCTAATACAATAACTGATTCTTTCTTTCTATTTTTTCTTATATATTAACAATAATTCCCCGTAGTTCAATCGATTGTGCTTGCGATAAGCATTAATGAATAATGCCGCATTGGGATTCGATTATAATCATCAACATATTTATCAAAAAAAAAAAGCACAACAGAAACTTTTAAAATTTAATTCAAATAAAAAAAAAGAACTTCCAAATGTGACAGATGTCAATAACTCATTTATTTTCGCAACATGATCTTCTATCCATCTGCGATGACATTTTTTTTTCTATATGATGAAAATTTTTTCACCATGGGTGATTGCTGAGTTGAGAAAAAAAATCAATTAAGACGTGTTACTTCAGCAATCCGGATGTGAACTTATTTCTTATCATCGCCATCAAAGACGATAAGTGCTTTACTAGACCACTGTCCGATTTAGATTCGACACGAGCTAAAAAAAAAAAAGTAATTCCTCACGCACATAGACAGACAGTTAGCCGAGTGTGAAATGCGAGCTAGTTCACATCCGGCGGCATGTCTCTACTAAGAGATATTGTTGTTCGACCGATTGTCTTGACAATAAAAAGAAAATCATGTAAATGAGAACGAGAAACTTGTACAAAAAGAAAAGAAAAAAAAACAAATAGCCAGGCAAATATTAGACATTTACGTATACAAGACAACAATAAACAAATGTGAAATTAGTTTTTTTTGTTTTTGTATTTATATGTTGCACAACGAAAACTGTTCGAGACGATTTGCACAAATGATAATATGTATATAATGTCCGTGTCCAGATACCCTCTTGTGTCGTACCAAATCGGTGTAATAAACCTGAGTAAGCAGGCCACGAAAGAGAAGAAAAGAAAAAAACAATTAGTAGAAAAATACGAGAGACTAGAAAGTTGAAGTAGAACGGATATTTATGCATGTATATATATATATAATTGTAAAATGAACAAAAAGAAAAGTTTGTTTATTGATTTGGTTTCTTTCAATAATATTGTATCATATAAAGAACAGTTAAAAATGATAATAAGATAATAGATGTTGATAGATTTTGTATCGTTTTAGTTGATGAACTATCAAGTGCATTTGATCGTGCGTCATTTATGTCACTAACTATACTTATTTTATGTAAACCTTTTTCTTCATTATTATATGATAATTTAACAATAAAACCATCATTTAATAATTGTTGATAATAATTATCTCCTGCAAGTTTTGGTTTAATTGTTATATCTGATTTTCCATTAGATGATTTTGTTATTGTTGTTGTCATTGTTGTTGTTAAGGGTATAGAACTTAATTTTTCACGATCAAATATAACAATACTTTTATATTTGCCATGATGTTCATCTTTTGTTTCAATCGCAATACCTGTTTCAGTTTTAATAGGTTTTTCATCTGTTTGACGAAACCATGTTAATGTTGGTGCTGGATTTCCTGAATATGAACATTCAATAGTTGCATTTTCTTTTGTTGAATTAACATATTGTTTTTCATCACATTTAAGAAAACGTGGAGTAAATAAAACATCAAGAACTTTCAATGCATGTTGTTCCGTATTACCTATTTTATAAAAGAACAGAAGAAAATAAATTCTTTATTTTATCAGAAGACAGAAAAGAAAAAAACAAACCTTGAGTAACTGTACATTGTAATGTTTGATTATGCCAATCAGCTGTTGGTGTAACACTTGCTTCCCAAGAAAATTTTTGTGGAAATGTATTAGTATTTGGTAGGATGCTCTTGCCATCATTCATTTCGTGATGATTACGAATTATTTTATGGCTTACATATGGATAAAAATCATCAACTGTACATTTTATTGTTGTTTTAGCATTTTCTTGTATTGGCCAACCAGGTTCAATATGCCATCTAGGTTCAGTTAATTTCATAACTTGTAAAATTTTTTTTTGTTCTTCTAATCGTTGTTCACAATCAGGACAATTACATTCATATCGTGCTGAATCTTCTAATTGTAAATGTCTTATACGCATATGATTTTTCTTAATCCATTCTATACGTTTATTAGGATTTCGTTTAAATGTATCTGGTGCTTCATTCGGTGGTGAATTTATTGACATACGCGATATTGGTGTATATTTTCCAGTTTTTAAATCCACATGCCATAATTGTGGTGCTTCTGTTGTAAAATCATTTGGATTAAGTAATTCACAAAGAATATCAACTTGATGACCATTTGTGAAATATTTTTCATCAGGAATGAATGTTAATTTTAATGATGGTTGACCTGATTGTATTGAAGGATTAATAATAGTTAGAAAGATAATTGATATGAAAAACATATTTATTCTTGATCTAAGAGAGAAAAACAAAACAATAAATGTAATCTTACCACTGACTTATGTAAAAAAAACAACAGAAAAACAACAAGAAACTTTCTTTGATAGGCAACAATATACATCGTATAGATTTATATATAGAGTATAGAACGATGTAAACCATTTACGGATTAATTTACGGTCGGATAACTCGTCTGTAAAGCAAAGAAAAAAAAAGACGAAGCAGAGTCTATCTATCTATAGTTTTCGCCCCATCGAGTGTATCTAATCTGTAGATCTGTGACAAGAAGGAAAAAAAAGAAGAACGTTGCTTAAATCTTGGCATTTTTCCAAAAATATAAAATAACATTCCATACCAATCGTTATTCTTATGATTGTTATTATTGTTTTTGTTCGCTTAGTATTGATTACTTTAATTAATGTCTGCTTATCGATTTCGTAATTTCACTATTCCGCATTGTTTTTTGCGCACTGCAGTTGTTGTTGTTGTTGTTTTAGACGGCAATAATTCCGATCCTATGAAACTCTTTTTCTCAATATTTCTGTTTCTCTCTCCTCTCTCTCTCTCTCTCTCTTGTTCTTCTTCCGACTTCCGTGTAAGTAGTTGAATGGCCGAATGGTGGTGATGACGAGAGAGAGAGAGAAAGAGAAGCAGAGTACATTCGTATCTTTTTCTCTCTCTCCCTCTGTCTCTCCATTTTTTGCGCCCCCCCCCCTTCCTACCCTCCCTCCCTCCCTCCCTCCAGCTTTCTTTATGCAATGAACGCACACGCACGTCCTCGGTCAAGTGCTTATAGAAAAAGAACTATCTCAACTAAAAGAAAAAAACAAGAGAAAGAAACGGAATATTTCACCACCAGTCAATCTACCGGAAGCACGAAGAAAATGGACACCTGCTTACATTCATAAAATTAAATTGGATTGATGAGAAAAAGACTTCTTTTTTTTTCTTTCTTTCCTTCTGTTATATATATATGACGCTATTCCAGTTCAATGGTTCTGGGAAAACTATTCGTTATTGCTCGAGATATAGAATAAGCGTAAGAAAGAAAACCGAAGGCAAAAGCAGATAGTTCAACTAATACGAAAAGGAAAGAAAAAGAAAAGAAAAAAAACGTTCCAGCACAACATCGGTCGTCTCATTTTTTTTAATTTTCCTTTTTCTCTTGTTCTTCCCATTGTTGTACAGCATGCGTATATGTTTGTATGTGTGTGTGTTCGGTCTTTGTTTGAACAAAGAAGATCCCGTAGAGATCACGTTATGAATGTTCAACATAACAGAATTAATCTGAAATAAAAAAGAAAGAGATGAATACAAATGAGTATATGGATGACTGGCATATGTGTCTATGTATATAATCAAGACAGATGGGTTTAAATATGAGTCAGCACAAAATCCCTTTGGTCATCAGGAAAACAATTTTTTTGTTCTATTTAAGACACAAAAAGAGAAACGAGGCCAAGCACCACCTGCTATCAAAAATATTGTTTTCTATTCACTTTCGCTTTTTTCTTTTTCTTTTCTTGGTTTCTGTCTCTTTCGTTTGTTTTTGTTGTCGATGACCAGATATTATTATTATTATTATTATTAGTATTTTTCTTCTTTCATCATCTATTCATTTTATGATTTATTTAATCAAATACATACAAAATGACAATCGTTTGCAACGGATGTGGGCACCATATTGGCATCTATGCCGAGCTAAACCCTAAACAAAATATTAAGTGGCAAAACGATGAAAGGCTTCAATCGAACTAGTAATTATTTTCTAGTGCAGTCAAGGCCACTTGCGTGATACACAAGAAAGGCAAAGTAGTCGGGGCGCATAAAAAACGATTAATCATAGATATACGCGCCTACACAAAGTATACACAACATGCGTAATACAACAAGTTGTCAATACTCCTTCTAGGCACAATAATGTTCGTTAATCGTCAGATGTTGTCGTTTGTTGTTCAATATTTTGATGAGTTTTTTTTCCTCTCTTCTATATATTTATGCATATTTCTGTTTTTATCACAATAAATCTCTTCTGTCTGATTATTACATGATACAAATAATGATAGATGCCAAATGTAATACTTAAATTTTAACATGGTGTATCAAAGAAAATATGATTGAATTTCTTTTTTGTATTGCAGACATTATATATTAATTTAAACGTATGGATGCAGTATGTGATGTAATAATAGTTGAGTTCATCTAACTATAGAAACGATAGTAAAGACAAGACTCCCTCATCTTCTTTCCTACTTCTTTTTTTCTAATGAATAATTTAATCCTACGATGCGCAAGCTCTTTTTCTGTCCTATATTCGCTCCACATTTACTATGTAAATAATGAAAACAAAGAAGCGGAATACCCGCGAGGAACAAAGCCGAGATCTTTCTCTTGTTCCTTCTCTCTCTCTCTCTCTAAATGTTAAGAGTGTGAGAACGACAACGACGGAACTCGATGCCGTCGCGTTTGTGATTATTCTCGAATATGCGTAAAAAGAAAAAGTTTCTATCGGTTCGTTTGCAAGCAATAAGAAAAGAAAAAAAGTATCCAAAGAAATTAAGTCAATGTTTGCTAACAATTAGTATGAAGACACATCACAAATCGTATAGATGATAGATGATGTTCTTGAATAAATACAATAAACAACTAACAAAAATTAATTCTAAAATCAAAAGTAAATTTCATCATTTGATCTTATACGAAAAAATAAAGAAAGAAGAAAAGGTTATATGGATATTGCATTCATTCAAATTAACCTATTGTCAAAAATAATTATTGTCGGAAAAAAAACCGTAGAAGAAGATGATGATGATGATGATTACATAATGGAAAAAAGATGAATAAGTATGCTTATTCATTTTCTAATAAAAATCGTCATCATGTTTTTCTTTCTCTATATTTGCTATGCTACTGAGTTCCACCCTGGACGGCAGTGATGATGATGATGATGATTGTTCATTTTTTTCTTGCTTCTAAATAATGGTGAGTAGAGTTTTTCCTCTGTTGAACATCATTCATGACATGTCACCGGTCTCGTTCTCTCTCTATCGTACTATGGCATAGTAGTGCACGGATGTATGCGCTCATGCTCGAGAGGAAACTGTCTCCTGAGAATAAGATGTGTGTGCGTGTGTATGTGTAACGAACAGACTCTGTACTAAATCAATCGTGGAAGCCAAAGCTATGCTGTTTATTGAAGTGACGACTATGCGTTTATGGCATATAGAAAATTGAATCATTAATGTAGTATACAAGTGGACATCAGCCGATACATCAAATCTTAGTAACAACACGCTTGTGTTTTTTTATTAGAATAGCGTTAAAACAGTTATTAAAATGCAAAACACTAGTATTCATCCACTTACTTTAATCTTTTTTTCTTTAAGTTGTCGTCAAGAACCCTCTAGGGGCGAAAAGTTGTCGTCTAATCATATCGGTCACTATTCTACTTTGCGCTTCGTCTGCCTTGAAACCAATCTCGGACGTGTATATATGTGCATAGTGCGTTAAATTTAATTGACGACGACGATAGAGTTTTTTCGTTGTAGCATGTTCTCTTCGTGGCATGCACGCTAGATGTCAAAATTAGACATTGAAAGAAGGGTATAGCTTCCGTGTTTTTTTTTTTCTTCGTCGTGTTCACATACATTTTTTTTTAATAGAAGCAATGAAAGCCCATCACTCGTTTTGACGAGAAGAATTTGATTAGAGAGTATAAAAGGAATACTTGAGGACAATGTATCTTCTTTTCATTGACAAGAAAAGCCGTCGAAAGCTGCACTATCTATAGTAAGGAAGCGCAAGGCAACAATATTTGGTTAGACGAGAGAGTGACGGTAAATAAAAGAAAACGATCCTTCTTTTTTTTTTGTTTTACTCTTACTATATCCAAGGATGTTCATCAAACATACACATACAAAAAAAACGGATAATTGCATCCGTTTTGTTCTTGCGTCTGCCGAAGAAAAATGGAAAGAACGAAGAAAAAAAAATAGAACGCAATGTCGTTTAGATTCTACAAATCTTTTTTTTTACGAACGTTGGTTTGCCATGAACGAAACGATGATAATAACAAGAAAATCAACTATGTTCAAGATTTCTTTTGACATTTACTCAATTGGCCGAAAGCCAACAAAAGGCTTAACATATTTTGTCATTTCTTCTTCGTTTTTTTTGCTCTTCAAATATACAACATTGATTTTGAATAATTGTATAGATAGAATTACCATAAATATGGAGAGAAGTCTACCACTAATTGACTATGACTTTACAATCAAATAGAGATTCATTAATTTTTGAATGCATACAATTATTTTAAAGTGAACAAATATATATATATAGGGCAAGATGCAACAGTTCTAGCATCCATAATAAAACATCACAATAAGAAAGAAACAATTCATGTCCGTATATGATTAGACCGTCTTGTGCGTGTGTTGAATGATCATTATTAAGAATGTATAGCATAACAGTTTTTCATAAATACCTAAAATAATAAGTGTAATATGTAAACCATAGTTAAGTTGACGATCATTAATATTTATTGTAAAATTTGAATTCTTATTATTCATTTGTAATGCAATAGCAAAAACGGAAATAAAAATTAAAATTGTTGATGCTAAACCAGTTATAATATGAATACTAGCAACGATAAGAAAGAATCGATGACGACGATAGATAATTGTAAAAAAAGCAAATAGTCCTGCAATAAATGCTAAAGCACCTGTCCATATACCATGAGCTGTTGATGAAAGTGATAATTGAAAAAGAACTATAAGTATACCAATAACAAATATAAGTAAGCCAATAATGATTTCATTTACAGCAACAACTTTTGTCCAACATGTATTCCAATTTTTTTTTAAATGTCCATCAATCAATACTTCAGCTTTATATAATGAACTATGTGGATAACATAAAAGTAATGAACGATTATCAATTGTTGCTAATCTACTAGCAGTTGTTTGGTTATCATCCGATGGTTCCATAAACCAGAGAGATGGAACAGCTGGTTCTGTTACCATGATTTTTTTATTATTTGTTACACATCTGGTAAAATTTTGTTACACTTTCAAACAAACAAAAGAAAAACATAGTGTGTATGGCAATGAAGAAGCGGCATTACACCTTCATTTTTTCAATTATTTTTTTGTTCTTCATAGATCACCTTTCTATACTAACAAAGAACATACAATATGTTATCTTTGTAACTTAGTAAAAGAAAATTTTCTCCTTCATTCGCACACCATCAACACTTCATAGAATCATTTGGACACATAGGAAGATACAAGGACACAACATAATAAAAATAATCAAAGAAAAAAATTAGTTTATTGAAATATCCTGCTAGACATTGTTGCTTTTCTTTCTTTTTTTTTTCTTTCAACTGTCTTATTAATGTGAGCAATTGGCGCAAAATTGTCTGATGTAACAATCATTTTATCTAGAAAATAAATTGTTCTTGTTGTTGCTTCATCATTTCTATCTTTTGAATAATGATGATCATTATCGAATAAAAAAAATCTTTCGTCTTCTATTTAATAATTCTCTTCAATGACAACATCAAGTATTATTAATTTACAAATGAATACTAACAATAATTCTAAAACTCAATCAGAAAATATTCAAGATAATAAACAAGAATATTCTAATAGTATTACTTCACCAATCAATACTCGTCTCGAATTTCCGAATCAACAACAACAACAATCTAATGATGATAAGTTACAATTAAAAAACTCTTGGGGTACCTACTTTTACAAGGCTGACAAACAACGAGATTGGAAACAGAATGTTATCTATATAACATCTATCGGTTATATTGAAGATTTTTGGTCATTTTATACTCATACATATGGTCTACGAGATCTATCGAATGGATCTGATTATATGCTTTTCAAAGTAATAGATAGATTCATATTTCAGTTAGCTGATTTACTCCTGTTTTGACTCCATTCGGGGATTTCTCAGTTCAGTCCTAATGTTATCAATCACAATGATTTATTATTATATTTTATATAGAAGAGAATAACAAGAAAAATATTAAAATTATTAGTAATTATAATGCACAGACATTTTAAATAACGGGCGGTCTATAAAGAAAGGCAACATATTTCGAAGACTACTCATTCGATAGAGAATTTTTCGCTCTGCAAAGAACTATTTAATCTGTTTTTCAAATAAACTTTTCTTGCCAGTGCGTAATAGAAAAGATGAACATATACTAGATGATTCGGCTGCGATTTCCTATTTTCTGCAGACTTTATGTCACCCTGTGCTCATCAAAACTGACGCTACAAATAAAGTATTTCGTATCGATCGATAGCAAATTTTGTAATGTATCTTTTTACGGCCTTTTTTTAGACTTCTGATGCTGTTGCTCAGGAGAAAAAGGCTCGAGGCTAACACCTTAAAACCAAATTTCGTCTATGAAAGGTTTATTATTATGCCATTATATGTAAAATTTAATTCTGAACAAAGTGGTGTAGCTGCTGAATTGAACAACGAAACTATTTAAATGGTTCTGAAGTAAAAAAAGAACAATGGCATAGGCTTGTTAGAAAAGGCTTTTACGATGTTTGCGCTTTCTTTTTATTTTAACAATTCACAACCCCTTCTGAGGACCCGGTCGCATATAGGAAATTTCAATGGAACTGCTATTAAAAAAATGTTTAGCATGTTTTTGCATTTTTGATCGTCGTAGTTAGATAATGAGTATGCGTTAATCTTATCAATTTTGCAATGGCAAGAAAAATTTATTTGAAAACAAAAATTAAACAGTTTTGTAATGCAAAAAATGCTCTATCGAATGAGCTTAGAATAAAGCCTTTGGAATGTGTTGCCGTGCTTCAAAACTAAAATAAAATAAAATAAAAGTGTCCCATTGTTTATGGGCTACCCGTTATAATGAAACGAATCATACTGTTTGTTTTTATGGCCTTATTGCCTTAAATTCCTGATTGCAAACCTTGATAATTAAGTACGAGTGCATTACAATACTTGTTTACTTTAGACACAACCTTCATTGGATGTGGGTGTGAATTACACCAATAGGTGTAATGACTGTGTTTAAAGTAAAAAAGTACTCTAAAAATATTTTTGATAAGCAATTAGGAGAGAAGTATTCTTCGAATAATTTATGATTTAATTTTTTATTTTTACATATAGTCTGGCTGTCTTCCAATGTGAGTAATTTTAATAATTATTTTTAAATTATTTTTATCTAAAAGAAGAAAAGGTGGGAAGATGTATCATCACGTGGAGGTGGTAAGTGGATAATTACAGTTGATCCAAAACGACGCAAACGTGATCTTGATGGTTATTGGCTTCATTTGGTAAGAATAAAATTATTCATGATGTAAATAAATGCATCGTTCAATTTTTGAAATGTCAACTAAGATCAAATATAATCCTATGTCGATTATATACTCTATCGTTTAAGTAGTTATTCATAATGATAAAATTGTAGATTAGAGATAGGTTATGAGTACATTCATTTGATTCTAAGTAACTTTTGTAGTTTTCTCATTAATCCTTCTTAAGTAGTATTTGATAACAGTTATTCTTCTTAATCAGTAGATTCTTTTGCATATGCCTCGATAGTGAGAATATAGAGATAAACTATTAGTATATGTATATAATCTTCAGATGTTACTTCTCATTGGTGATATGTTCGGTGCTAATTTGAGTACATATATCAATGGTGCTGTTGTTTCATTACGTGTCAAAGGTGATCGATTAGCTTTATGGTTAAAAAAGATTGATGATTTAAATTTAATTAAAGCAATTGGAATGAAATTTAAAAATCTACTTAATATTCCATCTAATATTCAACTTGTTTATGAAGTAAGAAAAGTACATAAAACATATTTTATATTTTTTTCTTCACTTCTTATTTTAAGTATCATGAACCGAAATTCGATGACTATAATAATGAGATTCGTCTTATTATGTAAACAACAAAAACAGCAACAATCAAGAAAGAAATAGAGATTAAAATAAAAATCAATTCTTGTTTATTTTCTTTGTTTTTGTTTTCTTGACTAATTTTGTTTTATTAATCATCTTATGATTAACAATAGCTTTTTCTTTTTTCTTCTCTATCAAATGAACATATCTATATATATCATCATAACAACTGTTCGTACATAAACATTTCAAAATAAAAAAAGTTTTTTTTTTTCTGTTTTTCTTTGTCACCAACTCTATCCTTTTTTGGCTCAACAAAACAAAAAGTGTTAAATAAACAAATGAAAGAGAAAAAAAAAACCGAGAGAAATAGTTAACACAAAATGCTGGAGAGACAAAAGAAAAATGAGATAGATAAAAGAAATTCGCCTAATATAAATATATCTTGTTTATTCTTCATACATTGGTCGTTGAGAACCACTACTACTTTCATTATGCATATCGAATTGTATCCGAATATTTGGTGATAAATTTATAATCGATCTCCATCGACGACCTATTTCACGTACAATTGTTTCATTACGCGCTTCAGATAACCAAAGTGCTATCTTATGACCACGTGTACGAATAGCAACTACACAACCGGTTATAAAATGACTAAGTGGTTCCGGATCACTGAAATAAAGCAAAAGATAATAAATTTGTTGTTTTTTATGAATATGATCTTTTTTCTTCTACTACATACGTATCATGTGAAAAACAATCACCAATCATACCAAGTAAAGTTTCTAGCCATAATTCATCAAGTTTATTATCTTGATTTCCACATGTTAATAACCATCGACCACCATTAGCATTTGTCTTATCCTCTGTATTACAAAAAAAAACAAAATAGTAAATAGAATAATACAGAAAAATTAATGCTTACCCCACATTGGACGAACTAAAATTAAAAATAAAAACATATTAAGAGATATGATGAAAAACGTTTTAGGTAAAATATTGATTCATCGGTTTAATATGAATTTCTTAAGATTAAACAATCTATTCTAGTATTTAATGAATCAGCCAAGTTGTTAAAATAAAAGAGCTACTTGAGAATCGAAAACAACAGAATGCCTGAGGGAATTCATATTCTCTTACGAAAGGAAATAAATGCAATAACATTTATTTGTCAAAATCTATAATAATCTTGAAAATACTCATTGACATGTATGATAAAACCATCTCATGTACATCGTACTGACTTAAAACTCCGGAAGAATCAACCCAATCTTCTAAGAAGCGCCGCCCTCTTGCTAGATAAAACATTGAGGTCGTCGGTTCAGTTCCAAAAAAACCATAAACCGGTCACATCTCTACTATTTATATAGTTTATTAAGAGATTGAAGTATGATATTCTTACCTCCTTTTTTAAAAAAATAATAATCAGAATTTGATTTATTTTGTGAAAGACGTGATGGTGATGCTAAATGATTGAATGTTGCCCAAAAATCTTCGACAAAACCAATATCAATTAAATTAATTAATGATTGTTCCCATGTAAGACGTTTATCTGGTTTAATATACCAAAATGTCCATGTAAATTCTAATGGACTTTTGGGATTAATTGTATCAACTGCTCCATTGCTGGTTTTTTCACGTTGATTTGTTATTATTGTTAATGGTTTTTGTTGTAAAGAAGAACGTATTGTAGAATCTGTCATATCTATTTTGTTTCTAAAAATGATACAATCAAAAATTACGAAATAAGCCAGAGAATATAAAAAGCAAAATTGTTTTACAAATGCATGGGAAAATGTATGTCTGAGAAATATAGATATAGGCACGGCTGGACAGTTAGAAAATTTCATCATGATGATTCATTGATTTAATTTCTATTGGTAAAAGAATTTTGATATTAAAAATTAAGAGTAAATATTTTTTTATGATCAATTTATGTTTTACAATATTGATATATAAAATACTGAGAAAAATATTTATGAAATGAGATCGTTGCTAAGCAACGCATTCAATTTAAATATGGTGGATAAATTGTTTGATTAAATTCATTTATAAAATGGCTCATCTTCTTGGCAGTAAAGCGTGTATTGATAGCTTACGTGTAGATATTGATGATCTACAAAATGTTATTCAAGATATTATTGGAAAAACAGGATCTATTAAGTAAGATAGAAAAAAAACATTAAAAAAAGAAAATTATTTGATTAGAAATAAAATATTTATATAGATGTCATTCATGGAAGTTTCCGGATAAAATTGCGACCGATATTGACATAAATGAACTTCTTCAACGTTATCAATATGGAAAAAATGAAGTCGATAATCAAGTTTCTCATATCGTTTTATTTGAAATTATTATTGATCGGTAAATATTCAAAGAACGAAATCATACAAGAACGCATTTCAGTTTGCTCTTCAACGTCTAACTTAATTCAGTCATATATCTAATGAAAGTTTATGTGTTAATAATCATTTTGACTTAATGATAGATTTAAATAGGATTTATCTTCACGGCATACTAATTAATAAGTCATTCTGATAGCGATTTGTTCATCCTACAATTTGATAATAGAAACCATTGATTTAAAATCATGTTTTAAATCTACTAGACCGTATACAATTCTTTCATGACTTAAATTTTAAGTTTGAAATACCTGTGTGCATTCCATTTGTCGTTTTATTATTGTATTAATGAAATTTACTCCACAATTAGTTTACTACGTAATCGATAGAGCTTTTCAAGCTCTGCAAAAGGATTAATCCACTATTCGTAAGGTCCAATCTTCAGCTGATATATGACGGTTTTCAAGAATAATAATATCCATTTCACTTCAAACAAGTATCATATTTCGAATCAGCACAAAAACGTGAGGCACTTGTCTAGCTTTCAAACTTTTCTTACAACATTTTTTTTTCTAATGGAATCTTCACCCTTAGTGATCCTCTCTGCAGAAATAAATGAAGAAATAAATTTTTATGAAAATAACTATTTTATTGTTTAGTCACGTGTCTTTTTGTCTTAAAATAGCATTTTAAAAGTTTTCATGCTGCTTTTCAGTATTACAATGACTTTTTGATTAAATTGATTTTATACATAACCAGGAGTGGTTCAGGAAGGTGAAAATTTGATAAGAAAAAAAAATCACAGGAAAAAGTTAACTTAAATTGTTATGCTGATTTTAAATATTCTGTTTGATCACTGGATCTGAAGAATAATAGATTGATCGTTTTGTAATGCATGAAAAGCTCTATTGATTACGGAGTGAATTAAGTGTCGAAGAAGTTTCATTAATACAATAATGAAACTTCTATGATGAAAATGTTGCTTAAACAAATCCCTACCAGAATGACTTATTATTTAATATATCTTGAAGATAAACCTTCTTAAATCTATAATCAAGTCAAAATGATCATTAATTCATGATCTTTCATTCTATATATGACTAAATTAGGTTGACCCTTGAGAAACTTGAATGAGGTCGAAATGTGTTCTTGTGCACCGCCATCTTGTGAAAAACTTTATTTATTTATTTTATTAGTCTTTTACTTATTATACATGGATCATGGCGCTATTTGCATGAAATGCAAACAAATATTTTACCAAATACAGTCGATTCATCATCAACAATTAATCAAAAATCAAGTCTTAGTGTTGGTTTAGTTATTAAAAAATATTGGAATAAATTATTACAGTTATCTACTGTGCTCCAACAGCACGAGGTTCGGAGAGGGTAGACTTGATATTTCTAATAATAATCAATCATTCTTTTTCTTTTTAGAATGAACGCAAACGATTAAATCAAAATGAAACAAAAACAACAGCAACAACATTATCACGTTCGAAAACAACTTTAAATATTGAAAAACGTTGTCAAACAAATGAAACATCAATTGGTCCATGTCAATCATGTTTAAAATTTCAACAATGTCTTCGTGATCAAAGTGATAGTTTAATAAATTTATGTCATACATATAATTTACCATCATCACTTGCACAATATCGATGTACAATAACAGATTTATTTTCATTAGATACTATTAATCATTGGTCGGATTGTCAAACAAAAGATATTGATCGTTTATCAAAACATCTTGAACATTTAAATAATACATTAAATAAAACAAAAAGTGATTTACAATTAAATGAAAATCGTTGTAAAAAACAAGATGAAACAAATCATCGTTTACAACAATTAATTAACGATGATAAACAATCAAAAAAAATTCTACAAGATTTACATGATAGAAAAATAAATGATTTTAAAAAACAATATGAACAACAAGAATATAATCTTAATGAACAAATTAAATTATTAACAAATCAAAAAATTAAAATTGAACAACAATTAAAAGAAGTTAATGATTTATGTATAGTACGAGGAGAACAAATTGAAAAACTAGGTATTTTATCATAATTTTATATGCGAAGTAGTTTTTCACATTATAGCAATTATGATTGTTTTTTTTGTAATACCGAGTATTTAACTAATATTCAGATAGTAATTTCGGTAGGCAATGCAGTTTTCTAGAAAACTGAATCTTGCCAGGTTCCAGAAAACATTTATTGCGCAAATGAACGCTTCCCTACATTTTTCTGATGAGCGTATTAACTATTCAAATAATTGAACAGACAAAGTACGAATAGTGGTTTAAATGAATTGATACTTGTATTATTCACACAAAAATCCTTCTTTTTTTTTTAAATACACTGGTGTATTTATTTCACTTGATCCAAGAAACTCAATAGAAGATCTTGTAGGATTAAAACGTTTTCATAAGACGTCTTTTTCTTGATTTTAATTTATGAATATGTTGAAAAATCAACTAACTAAACCGGTATACATCACCCAACGATTGTTGGTTTTTTTCGCTTAGTTCTTCATTATTCGTTCGATATCAATCTTTTTTTATTATTTAGAATCATCAAAAAATGAATTAAAAACTTTAATTCAAGATCGATTTAAATCTGATGATGTCATAAAAACATTAGAACAAGATCGTATTCGTTTACAAACAGAACTTGATTTAGTTAAACGTGATCTTGAAGAACGTAATCGAGAATTACAAAAAGAACGTACACGTATTGAAAATATGATTCGACAAGAACAGGTAAAACATTTAAATCAATTTTATTTTAACTCATTCTTTTTCTTTTTAGAATTATCAATCAAAACAAAAAGCACTTTCTACATCATATGAAGAATTAACACAAGAATGTGAATTACTGAAGTAAAAATTCAAACAAATTTTATTTAAAAGAAAAATTCTATTAATTTCTATTTATATTAGACAACAAGTTACTGAATTAGAAATATCTCGTGATGAAGTTGAAAAAAAACTTGAAATAGTTCAAAAACATAATCGACCATCAACAGATATAAATAAAGTTCAATCATTAATGGAAACTAATAATCATTTATTACAAGAAATGACTATACTGAAATCAAATATTGAACAATTACATCAACAAATTCAACAAATGGATGAACGTGAACAAATGTTATTACAATATCCGGATCTTAATGGACCTATTAAACATGAACAAGGTAAATTTAAAAAAAAAAAAAAGTTTTATTTATTATTTATGTTCAATTTTTTTCAAAATTTATTTAGCAACAAATAATATTATAATTGATATGCAAAATCAAATGCGTACAAATGAAATTCGTATTGATTTATTACGAAAACAAAATGATTCATTAAAATCCTCATTAGAAAAACTTTTATCTATGAATAATTATAATAATAATAGTCCATCATTAGTAACAGAAGAACGTTATGAAGAATTAAGAAGTCAATCAAGACAAGAACCATCACATCGAAGATATTCGTATGGAAATGAAACTATTATACCGGTATCATTTGTTTCTTTCTCTTATTCAGGAAGGGTATGGGTATGAATGTGGGCAGAGAAAGGCTGATACTCACACCCACACCTTTCTTAACATATTTGTATGGATTGGTTTTCCTTTAATAACTTTAAAATGCAAGAGACTGACGAGGGAAAATACAATCATTTCAATATGTATAAAAGATACATACAGGATAGTTCATAAGTAGTTTAACAATAAAAAAACTGAATATTTTTACAGGTTATAACGTGAATATAAAATTTTGAAATCGTTATAAAAACGAGCATCAGCAAGCGTAGTCAAAGAAACTCTTGCTTGCACTTCATTGTATTTAGCAGAAGATCGGTGTATATATATATATATCGGTAGTGAAAAAAATAAACCAGCTACGCGTCTTGCAAAGCGAAACACAAGATCGAACTTTAGAGCCTTCTTCAACACTGTAATCGATAGAAATCATCATTGGAAAACAAAATTAGGTCCATAGAGTGGAAATATTCGAATTTTTTATCGTAAATCTACTTATGAACGACCCTGTATTAACATTTCAATAGTAAAATCGTTAAGATTATATTGTCTTATGGATATTGCGATGTTCTCTATAATCTGAACAGATACAAGACAATATTAACAAAACGTTTGTTAGTTTGGAAACCGGTTCTTTAGAAAACAGTATATGTAGGCCTCTAAGGATAATTCTCGTAGTCACACTTAGAATTAGCATGATTGATAATCTACAATTCAGAAGTTTTTAAGCAGAAAGTTGTTTTCTCTTAAGTGTATGAATTGTGACTTTTAGAATTAAATAATTACACTGGTTTCTGAAATAAATAGTTTTATATATATATAGAAATCAAAGCCAACACCATTGTGGTTATTAAATAATGAAATCGTTGAACAACAACAAGCTTTTACAGAAACAAGGTAAGATTCGATTTTCTTGGAAAATTCAATTCAATTATGTTTTTATTTTAAATTTATTTAAGATCAGTTACAACAACAAATTATATTCCACGTTTTAGTGAAAATGATTATGTTGCTAATGGTTGGATTAAGTCTGATCCTGATATTATTCCTCTTACACAATCGAATTTCGACAATGAAACTTCACCTAAACAACATGATCGATCATGGTCAGCAAATTCTACTCGTATTCAAACGAAGTATAAATAAATAAAAAAATATTTTTTTCTCTTTCATGAACTTTGTCTTTTATGTTCAGTGATTTGGTAATAATATCTGAATCACGTCCACCAACTGTTACACATTCTTCTCGAACTCTAAATAATGGTCGAACATCAACTATTCCTCCACCGTCTGATTATGAAATGATCATTGGTTTGTTATTTCAATTACTTGGATTCTAAGAAAGATTTGTTTTTCTTTTTACTTCGTAGGTAAAGGTCGAACAACAAGTCGTCCAACATCAGCATCTAAAAACCGTCATTCAGCAAATGATCAGACTCGTCGAGACAACTCATTACCAAAAAGTTCTCGATCTATAGCATCTGCTAAACCACCAAGATCTGCGACAAGCACTACTATACATCAATGTACAACTTGTAATAAATCATATGATGATAAACGCAATTATGATATACATAAATTATATTGTAGGACTTAAAGTCCATTAATGAAGTTTTTCTTTTTTTTTTGTTTTTGAAAATAAAACAGGACAAACATTGCACATGTTATGACAAAAGGGAATGATAAAAATTAATAAACTATTTTCATTGGATGGAAGTGATGTTTATTGAGAATTTCCAAGCTTGAAAATTCATTTATGATATTTGTTTGAAACTGTAGTAAGATGTCAATCATTGTATAAAGAGCGCGCACATGTATTCAATTTGATCTTGAAACATGTGATTGAAATGGATATCGTTCATGATTAGTAAAATAATTTATTCTATTTATCGATCTATTCAAGACGAAAATATTCAATAGGATGATCTAATTAAGAAAATCAATGAAAACATTTTACTTTCTATTAAAAATATAGTAGATAAACAAAAAGAACAGTTTAAACATTCGTGCACAATGTATTCGATTAGTCAATGGCAGTACTAGGCTGTAAAATTGAAAATGTTCGATCTTCTCAGAACCAGACCATGGGCACAAACCTTTTTAATGGTAGTGATAACTCACTGAGTTCTACAAGATGACATTCCGTCCAAGTAGAAAGTTCGTAATAAGTCGAGGAAATTTCCTCGTAAGTTCGTTTGGAGCTAAAAAGTGCAACTCATATGCCTATATCGGTTCTCAGAGAACGTTCTGTCTTATTTATTTCTACATTTCGAACAGAAATTTTTATTCTTTTAGTACATTTTTTGGCGGATGTTCTTTATTTAATTGTTTTGCCACTATTTTCTTATTATTTATTTTCTTTTTTATTCCGTTTACAGCATATCTTCAGGTGCTATTATATATATTTCGATAAACTTAGAAAAACTGATATGGATTATCTTGACATACTCAAGCAAATCTACGTAGTTTAATAATTCATACATAATGTTTTTCAAGATCAATTCCGAACAATTCTAAGTCAAAAACTACAATTAGAATTGGTGCATCTATAATTCTAACATTAAATATTTACGTTATCTTCTGAGAGTAAAATATAGGAAAAGAAAGTATAATAAAATAGTTTTTTCTGTTAAATCTTTAATTTAATTTCATACAGTTGATGAACCCTATTTTATTATATTCATCAGAAATTTTCAAAGGAAAATAAAAAGCTAACTCTTGTCAATTGGTATGAGAATAATTTTGATTCTATTTGAATTATTTTGTATCAAATAAATAGAAAAGTTCTAATAATGATCAAAATTACAATTTGTTTGTTTTTTTCTTAAAAACTTCTTTCAGTTGTCAATTGGTGGAGAATTGAATTATGCAACAAAATGATTTTCTTTAAAAAAAAATTCTAACAAAATTCAGATTTGCAAATGTTTGTAGTATTTGAGGTATTGACGGAGTTAATAATGTTAATGATATTAAGATATGATCGTAATATTTCTGTTGAACGTTTGGATAATGAATGGTCTTTTCTATCCTATCTTGTGAAACGAGTTAACAATCAATTTGGATTAAGCACCATTGAATTGATCGCTTATTTACAGATGAAGAAAAATCCGAATGCGAATTTTCATCTAAATCAAGAAATACAAGAATTCGCAATGAGACACTCAATTGATAAACAGTACGATATAAACAAATCTATTAATGAAGAACAATTATTTATTACAGTTGATGTCAACGAAATGAAAAAACTACAGGCAGTGTTTTACGAGGTGTGTCATGGCTTGAATAAATCAAGATATATAATAATAGTTTGCATATCCCTAAACAAAAGACGAAATATTCTCGTTATCAATCAAAAATTTCTTTATATGCTTTTTTTTCTCCGGTCATTCGACGCAAACTGAAGAAAATCATCGATTTCAAGTGAAAGAACGTATCCGTGTGCTCTATAATGACGGAAAAGTATACTTTAACTTTTCTTTTCTGAAATTCAATATTTTTTCTACGATCTATTTAGTTCTATGACGGATCATTACTGCAATTTGATCCAAAAATGAATCGTTGGCGCGTTAGATTTAGAGACAGGTGATTTCCACCAGCTTGGACAATAGCAATACGTATTTTTCCGATAGAATATTGATATTTTTTTTTAAATAAAGTTTTTTATTGTTGAACGAAGATAACATTTATTTATACTGAAAATATAATTAGGGAAAAAGAGAAACAAGAATGGCGTGATCTTGGTAGAAACGTTGAATTAGAAAATATCGAACCGATTGATTTCGAAGAAAATAGTCAACTGAACGGCTCAGGAATGAAAAACAATAGAGAGCCGTGATCAGATAGTGATATATTGAATATCATAACAGGAAACGAACAAATACAGCAATCCTGTCTCATACTTTTTGTTTTTCAATCAATGCCTTCTTTGTGTATCAACTTTTTGATCTTTCGAAGTATGGCTATATTCTCAATTGTAGAGTAGTATTCAGCTCTAAAGCTATGTATCAAGATAAAATGGAGTCTCCAGAGAGAGCATTGGTAGAGAATGTATCGATTCTTTTTAGAACATGAAATTATTTTAAACTAGTACAAATTGAAACACTTTTGCAGATTGAAAATAACTTCCTCTGTCAAAGTTGTTTCTGGAAACATCTCTGGGAGATGCTTCTGTTGAGATAGAAGCAAAGATGTCTTTATGTCGATCTTCCAAGGGATGTTTGCTAGGTTGTGAGTTTTGTTCCCGAATTCAACTTGAGCTAGTCTACGATAACGAACGCGTTGTGGGTGCCAAGATGAAATACTGGTTATGAAATAAACTGAAGTCTTCCCTCTTTTACATTTAGTTTAGAATGCAAACTAGGAATGTCACCAGAAAAGTCAATCTCGATTAAGGATGTCCGTTACTAACAGATTACTGGATTAGAGACTTAAAATAGAAGGAATAGGTTCATTGCACAACTAACCAAGGAAAAAGAAAAAAAATCGAAGTTTTTTGCTCACAAATACGAAAGTATATAATAATGAAGACATTTGATATTAAAGAGATGAAAAACAAAATTATCAAGTCTTTCGTATTGGATCGTTTTGTTATTGCTTAGGAGATTTTATTTGTCGATTTTACTGCAGCATTAAGTAAATAATCTATTTTTTTCTTTCTGTTTCTCATTTTGTTTTTATCTCTTATCGAATGTTTTTTTTCTGATCTAGAGGTAACAATGAAAATTATTTTAAATTACTTACAGCTAGTGTGGAAACATTATTTACAACATGTGATGAAAATGGTTATGATGTACGATTAGCTGCTGAAGTAAATCTTAATAAACTTGTTAAAGTACAAAAAGAAATTTCCTTTTGTCTTCAATTATAAAATAGAATTCAAAAAAAGCAAATTTAACAAGAAGGGTGTGGGTGTGTGGTGGTGGGTGTGGATGTGGGGGTGGATGCGGTATGGGTGTGTGTGGGTTTTATTCAACTGGAGACTCACACCCATACCCTCACACTCAGCTCAAATATAGAAAATCACATGTGAAACCAACGCAAAGTATCATAATATGCTAATATTTATCTTTTGTTGAGAATTCCAACATCTAGCTGTTACATAGTTAGAATGAGTAGTTACATTGATGTGTAGTAAAGATCAGTTGAGGATGTCTGTTGAACTACTGCATAGAACTCTATTTAATGTAGTTTCACTTACTCAATGAGAAGCTGACGTGAATTTTGGTATATAAACTGGAGTAACTTAAATAAAATCTAACATCTGTCAAAAAAATATCGATATGCAAGTGAGATAACGATATGTTCAAAAGTAGTCATTAAATATTCTATATTCGGACTATTTTTATTTTTCTCAAATTTACACCATTTTGTAGAGCAAATCACGAGGAATTTTTCTATTATAGTCGTCATCTTGTCTAATCGGCCGTTAATCAGAAAATCAACTTGAAATTTATCAAAAATAGCCGTATAATAGTATTTTTTGTATATTTTCTTACATTTGTGAATCTTATGGCCCTTAATGACAACAATTGGAAATTTATATATTTATACTATTTTGTAGAGCACGAAAAACTACGTCGATCTACACTATTAGTTTCATATTAGTTTTAGAAAACAAAAAATTATGGTTACCATGGTTATTTTGTGGAATACGACAAAGTGATATACCCCCCACGATTATTTGCTCTTTGAAAATTTTTTTTTGCATTCAAAAAAAAGGAAAAAAAATACACAGAAATGTGCAAAATTTCATGCTCTACCTTTCTAGCTTGTTGAAAGTGAAACATAAGGGGTGGCAGATTTACGATCTTAGTCGGCGGGGTCCTTTGTTTTTTGCTCTTTGTTAAGACGAGAAAAAATTATAATGATGCATTCACTGAGAGTCATTTTTATCATTGTATTCTCANACTGTCATTGTAAAACTCATTCATTCGGAAAAAATTGTGAGTGCCGTCTATCAACATCATCATCATTTACGTGTTCTAAACATGCTGTATTGCGTCTATTATCATCATCAAAATCTATATGCTTGTGTTCAGTTCATTTGTATGAACCGGCGTACCATCTAAATCACACCCTGATAAAGACGTTTATTGTCGAACAATCAAATCAAGAGTTTCATTATTGTGAAGATCACACAATTGAATGATTGATGACATTATAGAATATGATGGAATTTCAATAAATGAGAAATCAGTAATAATGTTAATTTTGATTATTGCAGAATCAAATTCACAATGATCACCAAAGAACTTTTTATCACAAACACAGATATAATCACGAGTGATATTTTCTGGATTAATATAACATTTTCCTCGGTACATACCACATGAATTCTTGTGCACACGTGTGTGATTTAGATGGTACGCCGGTTCATACAAATGAACTGAACACAAGCATATAGATTTTGATGATGATAATAGACGCAATACAGCATGTTTAGAACACGTAAATGATGATGATGTTGATAGACGGCACTCACAATTTTTTCCGAATGAATGAGTTTTACAATGACAGTAATATGTCGACATATTATTGATTTTTTTCATGATTGAAAGACATGTGCTGCTATGCAGACATAGATTAGCTGTTCGACAGATGTGAAATTTTTCTAATGGCGTACCTTCTTTTTCGAATTTTAAAACATGTGCTGTATGATAAGAAGGTAAAAATGGAAAATGAAGTGAATATTCGCAAACAGCAATAAATTTGATGGATGAATCGAAGCTCAATTCGTACGCTTTAAGCCGAACTCTATATAATTTTGATAGTAATTTTAGTCTTGGATAAATAACATTGAAATGAAACTTTTTATTTAAATCCTTGGACAGAATTAATGGTAGATGAAAGACATGATGATCGATGACATTACCATTAGATAATAATAATGATAATACTTAGAGCAATCCAAAATTAGTGGCCCAGATACCTTATTTTCGTAGATTTACTCTATTTTCGCGGAAAAAATTTTCCGCCGAAGGTGACTTTCGTCGAAAGTTAGTTTTCACCGAAGAAAACTCGCCGAAAACAAAAATCGCCGATTCCATTATCGCTGAATCATTTTATAACCGAAAACGAATATAAGTTGCATTTAATCGGTCTTCTAGACAACACTTATATTTTAGATAGTTAGTCAATGATACCAAGTCAGTTCATCTTCGAGTGAATAGGCTACCAACCCATATGGCTACTAACTCAGTTGGTAACCATCTGATATGGTAGCGATCTGATTTTTTATTCAATCCAACCGACATAGAAGCCATCTCAGTTAGAGACCAACTGACTTGGTAACATGGACTAATTATCTAAAATATAAGTGTTATCTGTAATACCGAATAAATCCAACTTATTCGTTTTCGGTGATAAATTCATTCGACGATAATGGAATCGGCGAACTTTCTTTTCGGCGATTTGCGTTTTCGGCGAAATTCATCTTCGGCAAAAATGGAATTTACCAATGCACTAGGTTTATTGATTAAAAATCAACTGTAATTTTTCCAAATAAAACTAACCATAAATTTGTTGCAAGGTTTTTGAATGGTTTAAAATACTTAGAAAGAATTTCTTCTTTCGTTGTTTTGACGTTCCTCAAATATTGTTAATGTTCCTTTTAGTAACTCTCGAAGTTCACCTCTTATTACTCCTGTTAAAATTGTTGATAAAACTATGAATGGATAAATCATAATTGATAATAATTGATCATGTTTAGTAATAATCATAATTATATACGAGAGAAAAAATGATACAATGTAACTAATTAATACTTGAATATAATAAATCCGAAAATGAATATTATTCCCAATGTCAAACAAACGACAAAAATTAATTAATAATGAAGGAAAAATAATATCATCAATTGATAAATAAATTCGACCACCATGAAAACCACAATTAGACAATGAAAAATTCTATAATCAATTCAGTAAAAGTATTTATCTTACTCATCATTATTTCTAATCAATCGAGGAAAATTAAACACAAATGGCAGGTTTTCTTTTATAATCCATTTCATAGCATTTATTTTCAATATATTCATACTTCCACCACTTAATAAACAATCTAAGCCACTATTCTCAAACTAAATTAATATAAAAAACAAATTCTTCAAAAAAACTTTCAATCTAGTCTTTTTCCTATATGTAGGGAAAAAAAATATTTTCCAGCGATTCGTTTGTTATTATTCTTATCTTTAGTAGTCGTTCCATGGACATTTGTTTGATATATTCCCATAAAAAGAAATATCCGTCAGCCAGAATTGAACTACCTTCGAACAATGTGTTGATGGAAAAACATTTTTTTAGTAATTCTTTTTTTTTTCTACAGAATCAGATAAAAGAAATTTGTTGTATGATGTTGATCAATCAATAGATAGTGTTCATAAGACTAGGCAGAGAATTAGCGTGTGAAAATAACATTCAAGAAAATGGAGCACTTCAAAAATAATGGTTGCGTCATGTCTATCTACAGATAGAAAGAAATGGCTAAATTTTTATATTTTACTGGAAGATGATAGCTTTGAAGAGTGCTTTTGAAGTTTGCTCAAATAAGAGCTCAGTGTATAGACGCTTTATTAGAAAAAAGATTTACCGAGTGGCCCTCTTCGTGTGCCCCCATATTTTTTCCATACGTAAGAGATCACTAAAGTAATGTAACCTCCAGTGACTTTCTACTTTTGCTTAGACTCGGTCAAGATAGCGAATTTTTAGTAGATTTCTCTTAGCAGAGTTCATTTTTCGAAAAGAGTCATTTAGAAATTTCAGCCTGCAACTTTGTACACATGAAGGTTTCGATTAGACAATCTTATGAATAAAGTTTCATCAGTTGTCGATATTGCATTGTCAATAAATGGGCTTTTCAATATATCTATACTTTTCTTTAACTACTGTGTAACTAATGAAACTTTACATAAGATAATCTAATTAAGGCTTTCATGGGTACAAAGTTTCAGGCTGAAATTCCCAAACATGACTCTTTATGAAAGTTGGACTTCGGTAGGAGGAAATTACTCAAAAATTTACTATCTTGACCAAATCTAAGCTTCTAAGAATCGTTTGAAGATAATACTACTCTAGTGGTCTTCCACATACGGAAGTATTTCATCGTTATTGGTAAAGTTGAATCACGTAGTAAAGTTATACGAAAAATTTTTGTAAAGGAACTTTTGAAACACAGTGTATTTACCATATTTATATATAAATGTTGAATAAATTCTATATCAATCCAATTTCGATTATCTCCATTGACTTTCCAAATAGTCATTGGAAATTCTGGATTAATAATCATTACATTTATCTTATATTGATTTTTTAATTCTAAAATCAAATCAATTTTTTCATTCGAATAAATATCTATATAAAATAACATTACCTATTATAGATAATGATAAAATTTCAAATATAAATACAAAAGTAAATATAATCATACATATCATTAGATTAACAATTCTCATTTGTACAATAATTACAATTGTTATAAAAGAAACAATAAAATTCGTCATAATAAATCCATTATATGTAAATCTATTTAAAAACCATAATATAATCATAATAAATGAAATAAACATAAGAATTAATCTAAACAATTGATAAATATAATTTAATTTAAAATCTGTATTCATAAATTTTCGGTAAAATTTATTAATTAATAAATAAGAAAAATTCTCAAAACATAAATAAATAATAAATGAAGAAAATATCATAAAACTAAATAAATATACGTATCCTATTATAAATGTACAATATCGATCAATAATATATAATAAAATAAAAGAAATTAATAATAATAAACCAATAATTAATCCATATTTAAATTTATTCGTTTTTGGTGAATGATTATCATAATGATTAAGAATTTTTTTCATAAAAATTCTACAATGCCATTCATTACCAATTAACATACAAATAATAATAATACTAATAAAAATAAAAATACATGGATCAAATCGAATATTATCTCGATTAATACGATATAATAAAAAATTTGTTTGATTCGAAAGAAAACTATTCAAACGTTTAACTTTATTTGAATCTATAAAACCGATAATAGTTTCATTTAAACTATAATTATTTAGATTTCTATACGATGGAAATTCAAATGACCACGAATATTTTGAATAATTTAACATTGAAATTGAAGATTTTATTTGATTATCAATATATGATAATAATGTATGTTCAAATGTTTCACTATTACGATTGACTTTTGAAAAAAAAAATAATAGAATTACAAATTAAAAACTAAAGATTTATTTACTTGAAAAAATGATAGCAAAATAATTTTGTATCCAATTAAGATTTTTTAAAATTTTTAATTGTTGAATCAAAGAACAATCATCTGATAGTTGAATGATTAATATTTCTCTAGTATTATTTGATTGATAATGTAAGGTTTTTCTAATTGTATTATTGAAATGACAAAACGATAAATCAAGAGCAATATTAATATTCACTTTTAATGCATTCGTTTTTGATGGTATTATCGATCCATATAAATAAACACAAATTGTGTCTGATTTATTGTTAAATTCGATTTGACTTATGGAATTTTTCACTGGTGAAACATAGGTTATCAGACATAGAATGAAAAAAAGATTCATAATTGATTGATTATAGAAAAACTTTTCAAATGAATCATCAATCTCATTTAATGAATTTTTTATCTTCAAAGTTTAGTTAAATAGATATCCTAGTGATATAAAAATAAATTTCATTACAGAATTTTTTCCATTTTTGTAAAGTAATTGTTGTTTGTCCTAATGAGGGAAGTTTCATCCAAATTATTCATTGCTATTGAGTCGAAACTACGTGTATTATATAGATCCAAATGAACTTTGAATACCCAGAATAGTTTGAACCCTTAGTTTTTACAGCAGAGATGCTGCATTTTTATGATAGTTTTTAAACGCATGCTGTAGTCCTCATTAGGAACACGAGAATAGTTTATTGTAAAAGTTTTAGGTCTTTTGCTTTGCTTCTATGTTGAAATAAGAATATCGAATCTTCCGTTCTATATGAGCGATGTAAAAAATATGGTTTTACCATAGTTTTATCTTAGAATAGGAAGAGCGATAAGATGTGAAACATTCGCAAAAAAAACTTCTCGTTAAGGACTGATTCTGTGAAAAGTTTCAACTCAAAATTCAAAAATCAGTATTCCTAATGTTTCTGAGAATATTTCTAGCAGATAGTTCACTTTTGGCTGACCAATAAGTTTGATGACCAGTACTTTAAAAGAGATGGACCAATCTCATGAGCTTCACAATTACTTGAGTTGATATAGAAAAATCAGAATGGTTCAAGGAATCGAAGTAATTATAAATGAATCGTTCGATAGACTTACCATTAAAAAAAAACTTTTGAGATACACAGTGTAACATGGATACCTGACAAGTTTATGTATGTCAATCAGAAGATTGTGATAGAAACCTCCAAATTTAATGAAATACTCAGAATAAGCAGAATAGTTCGACTTAAATCACTTCTGACACGATAATTATGAAAAAACGTTTTGCTTTTCATCTGGATCGTTTCTTGCATTATCCTAATATTTATTCCGTTTAAAGACTAATATTATCAATGATAGAAAACATTAAAGAACATCATTCCGAACGAAAACATACTGAATATATGTATTTTAGTCAAAGATAAAGCAAATAATGAAATGACAATAAGAAAAAAAGCAGAATGCATTTAAGAGTTTGTCTTTTTTTTCTATAGAATATCATTAATTACAAAATCAAATTGAAATATAAATGAAAAACATTTTCTTGTTAGTTATCATCCATTGTATTCAAATTTGAACTGTCACTATCTATATTCAATTCCTCCTGTTCTTCAAAAGGACGTTTATGTGATACGGATGATGATGATGATGACGCTGTTGAATGCAGACGTATATGTTTATTAAGATTTGATGGATCACTAAATGGTCGAAAACACACTCGACATTGTAATGGTTTATATCCTGTATGTGTACGAAGATGAATTTTTAAACCATATTTACGATTATAAATCTAAAGTTGATAAACAAAATAAATAAATAAATAAAATTATCAATATGAATTTACTTTGCCACAAAAAAGACATAAATGAGCTTTACGTTGTCTTCCATCATTATCCAATGATGTAAATTCTAATGCATGTGTACCATCAAGTACACTCATTTTGTAAGATGATACATCATTTGATGAAATTGTTATTGGTTGTTGTGGTTGATCATTTTTTTCTTTCATTTCCTCGTCTTTTTGTTTATCATTCATAATTGAATTTTGACGAGGAGATGATAAAGATCTTTTTGTTGATGAAAAATCCATTGAACATTTTTTTATTGGAGTTGTATGAACTAATAAACGTTCATTAAGATTAATATTAATTGATGATGTTGGATCACGACATTGATCAAGAAGAACATGTGCAACTAAGACATTTAAATAATTTTGTTCGGTTTTACATCGAGGACATCGTGTAGCTATTAAAAGCAAAATTCGTTGTTTTTTCTTGATAAACAAAAAAAAAACTGTTTTTTTTTAAATCTTACATTTAAGAAGTTCTTCAACTTTAAATATTTTTGCTAATTTAATTTTTTCACATATTGTACGTAATTGTGGAAGACTAAACCAAGCAAGAAGTGGTTCATCGGGAACAACTAAACGAGTAGTACGAAAACCGAATAAATTCGTTTCAAGTGATTGAAATAATTCAATATTTTGCTCGTCTGGTGTACGAGCACTTTTTATTGATAATATCCATTCTTGAAAAAGTCCTGGTCCTATTAAATGTTGATTCCAAGAATGAATCTATAAATATATATAATATTATATAATAGCCTTGTATGTCCTTAACATATCGAGAAGTAATTCTTTCTTGTCATGAGTTAATTATTAGCATGTTGTATGGATCATCAAACTGATCTATGAGCAAAATTTCAGGTTGAAATTCAATAAAATAATCATAACTCAACTACACAGTCTTATAGAGACGAGCTCTTCTCTACCCAATATGAGCTTAAATGGCGGATATTAGTCTGAGTGGTTCTCTCGTTAGCTCGCATTGTTGCAATTATAGAGACTTGAAATAACCAAAAACAAATTTGAACTTTCAACTTTAAACATCGAGTGAAAATCGACACTTTCGAAACGTATATACTTCCGTTTCATACAAAACCTTGACAACTCAAAAATAGAACAATACAAAAGAATCCAATTCAATATTTTTTTTATACTTACCGGAATTTTATTGTAATGTTGATTATGATCATAAAAATCCGTTAAAAGAAAATTATATGGTAATTGATGAAGAAGATAAACTAATGAACCTTCTTTTAATGTTGTAGCAGCAACAGCTAAAGGTTTAATTGTTGTTGTTAGTGGAAAACTTCCATTAACATTTGCATATTTAGCTATTGGTTTAATTATTTTAACATTCGACATTTGTTGTTTTAACTCAGCAGGAGAAAATATCGAATGAAATGATGATATATGGTATGACCAATTGTATATAGGTATGTGACATGTATTGACAGGTGACAGTACTGATTTTTTTTGTCGTTTCGTTTCATTCTTTTTTTCTCTCTCTCTCTCTTGAAATTATGTACCAATCATCGACGAGAGAAATCAAATAAAAAAAAGAACGAAGTTACCATTGGGGAAAAAGGTATTTCGGTGGTGTCAATCATCAAGTATGTATGCAGAGATACTATTTGTTCAGTACAACATTACTAATAAAACAATGAATAGAAAATGACAAAAAAAAAAGAAGAGAAGAAAAGAGAAACGTATGGAAGTCATGAAACTGTTCTGCTTATGTCTTATGACACCACTTAACTTGTTACCATAGAAATTCATCTATTGACGAGTCAAATTTCATTCAAGTGGAAGAAATACCTTCAATCATCATCTGCCTTCTCCTCATTCTTATTCGACTCTGTTGTTGTTTGATTGTTCCTGTCTAATGACCAAAGACAATTTAATTGGCATTGAATACATATATGTCGTTTATCGTTTTCACACCTCTAAACTCATAATTATCTTTTAAAGGAAGAATAAGACATAAAATTCTATCATTCGATTCAATACACTAAAATGATAAGCTGAAAATATGTTTAAAACTAAAGAAAAAGACCGCAATAAAACGACAGCCGATGTTTTTCTCATCATTGATTTAAATGCTAATTATTATAGACACGTGTTGCTTGCTGCTTCGATGTATAGATTTTTTTTTTTTTTTTTTACGTTGACATCCAATCCAATGATGAGCATACTCTTGGGTCTTCTCTCTATTGTTCATTCAACTCACTTGAACAGGCTTAGATGACAAACAAACAGCACGTGTGCATTCTTTCTCTTTACTTAATGTGTTCGATTAGCGCACTTTTTTTTTTTGAAATGTACAAAAAGTGTTTTTGTTGCCTCTCTATTACCATCATATGTATGATGAGCGACTTTTTATTTTCGAATAAGTGGGGATCAACATGGACGATTGTTTTGATCTTGTACTCATCCTGCTACTATTTATTGATAGAAGAATAATGAAATTGACATAACAGATTAGAGTGAAGAATGTTTCCAACTGTTTTATTAGGTTTTAAATTTTCTAAGATCGTTGTAATCATAATTGTTCGTCAAATTGATGAAAAATCTTTTACTAGGAAGTAGTTTAATTAAATATACTTGAATTCTATATTGTGGCATTCATAGAAGATTAGTTTTATGGTCTATTGAACATTGGAAATGTACGCTTATCAGATTGACAACTCGAAACATCATCGAGATCAACAATGTCACATCTGGCTACGTGTCGTTAGTACTTATCAAAACATTAGTTATTAATGTATCACTGATAATCTTAGAATAATTGAGAAGTTTAAGAAAAAGGGATGATTCTACATGTTTCTTATGCTATTAAATAGTTCAAATTCGTCATATTGATATTAACTTAAGTTTATATTCTCGAAATTCACAGATCAAGAATAACATTATAAACAACTTTTTATATCGAAAATCGTCTTATGAATCATATATTTCTTTTTCATGAACATCAATAGTTAACATACAGAGAATGTATAAAAAAATAAATATAGTCGTTGAAACAAAAGAAAAAACAATAACAAATACACAATTTTAAGAAGTCGAAAACAAGTTTTTTTTTATATCAAAATTATATATTTTTAGACAAATCGAAAGGATAGGAAATAAAACAAAGTCTTTAAAAATAACAATAACCAAGATGACATGCTTCGCATAATGTTGAATTATGTTGTGCATGCATATTTCCTTTTCGTTGAAATAAACGTCGAATTGGTTGAGTACCATTATGTGTTACATCCCAGTCTATAGATGATATTGAATTGGGAAAAAAGCATTTAAAAATTGTTAATGCTAAATTTTTCATTACTCGACAAATTTCATCTAGCAGAAAAAAAGAAGAGCAATTTGAAAAAAGCCATATTTTTTTTTGTTCAAGGCTCACCGAAATACCACAATGGATGAACAATTGAATAACAATATTGACATTGTTGTGTATAGAGTCTTAATAAAACAATACCGCCTTCATTTGGTTTCGATATATAAAAAGAACAACGTGCACGCATTGATGTCCAACAATGTCCACAAATATCACATTTAAATTGTGCTTTTGCATTTTCTAATTGCATTATTGAATAAGATGCATTCCATGCACGAGGACATGTAAAACGTGCATCATAGAGCATAAGACGATAGTCTATATTATATGTCATAGCTGTCGCCATAATTAATCGACCAAATTCGCCATGCCAAGCCCAAGCGGTATTTTCACAAAAATATTTTTTATCATCATCACGTATTACTGCTGCCCTATGAGCTAGAAAAATAAATAAAAAAAATTTTGATTCTTATAAAAAAAAAAGAAAAATGATATATTGAATACCATCATCGGTAATTGTTATTGTTGATGGATCGTTTGGATAAAAAAATTCGAAATCACATTCATTCGAAAAGATACTTTCACTATCATCATCGTCACTGTTATCAAAGCTGATACCAGAATCATTTGATGTAAAACGAGAAATATTGTCTGAGTAATCATTTTTATTACTGTTGTCATTAACAATATCAAATAGTTCATTTTTCTTCAAGATTGATATTGAAGAAAGTGGGTATGTTTGAAATTGTTGCATTTCAAATGCAAAATCGTTAATACGATATATGTTTAAGTATGTATGTATGTGTATGAACGACGAAGACAAAAAGATGGGAATGATCTGTATTTGTGTTGTAGACAACGAGACATATTTTTCTTTCTTTTTCGTTCTTTATTTTAAATATCGAAGTCTCGTGGATTAAATCAACTAAACTTAACGGATACAACATCGATAAAAGAAATTCGTTTGAAATTTATTGAATTAAAATTTTTTTGTAATGCAAAATATTTTGTAAAATATTGAGAATTTCTTTTCTTAGTATAGAATAAATAAGAACGATTGTGCATAGATGTCTCAAGTTTTATCATGATCACAGGAAGTTAAACACTTTCTTTACTTCTTTTTTTTTTGTATTCGAATCAAACAGTATGAATAACTATGATAACTTATTTTTTCGCTAATTAATAGATTTGTAATGTCACTATTTTAATTAAACCTTTTTTGTGATGGTTTTTTTTACAATATATCATATAGAAATATTTATTATTATGACAAAGTCTTGCACAAATAATATATTTAAGAAAAAGTCATTTATTTATTCTTTTATTTTCCATTTTGATTAGCACGTCTATTTCTTCCATGATTATAATCATATGCAACCAATGCTAAAAGATAGATAACATCAGGTAATTCATTTGTATATATTTCTAAGTCGTATTTATTCGGCAAAATAAATGATGATAATTTTGTTCTTATTCGAGCAAGAACATCATTTGGTGGTTGTTCATTTCGAATTTCAGTTGTTAATGAAAATGCTTGATGTTCCATAATTAAACGTTGATTTGCATATTGAATAATATATCGAAAAGTATAAGTAGGAAAAGCTTGAGTAATTCTTCCAAAATTCCATTGATTAAACATCATGTCAAATACTTGAATTTCAGCATCATATACTAATAAAAAGAAATCAATAGTGTTTAATCGATTAAAAATTTTCAAATCAATATCTTACACCATGGGGACCAGAGATTTTTCATAGAGGCAACCATTCGTTTTCCTGGATAAGCATAAAGTTCTGCGTTTTGAGTAACATCAAAACGTGATTCAAGTCGAAAAAGTAAAGTGTTAGCCGATTGATCATAAATTGAAAATTCACCAGCTTTAAATCCACTGAAAAAATCTTTTTTAATTAAATATTGACGATATGCTTGTTGAGATTGAGTTCTTGCACATAAAAGACAAATGAAGACGAGGATAAACGAGTTTGCCGACATTTTTCCGAGAACAAACAATCAAATGACAAAGTCGTGTCTGACTGATAGGAATATATAATGTAAACATACATATACCCAGCAGATAGTTTCTGTTCGTAATTGAATCTGCTGACCTATCTTTCTTTTTGATCAAGTATGTTTGCAATCAAGGAAAAATAATACAACCTCATGGAATACACAGGACAATTATCATTGTTTATTTTTTTTAAGCGACATCAATAATAATTCATTAAAATTTTGAAAATTTGTAATAGTCTAACGCAAGAATGTTCTCAGAAGTCAATTTACTTACGACTTGAAACTATGTAAATCATTTAGTTCATGTATTTCTAGCTTAATTCTATCGAGATTTTTAATTATTACGGCGTGTTTTTAGCATAACTTCATGCTTCTGTCAGGTTCCTTTTGATTAAAATTGACTTTCGACTTGAAATTTTGCACAGAGATGTGAATCAAGTATTTCATGCTGTAATTTATGTGAAAATAAGGAACACAAAAATTTAAAATTTTCCAAATAAGTTAACCTCGTTGAGACTTTTCTTTGTACAAAGTTTCAAGTTGAAAGTCGATTTTCTAAGTGATGCAAAGGACTATCATGATGTTGTGCTAAGAAATGTCGCAATAAATAAATATCTCGATAGAAGTTAGCTTTCACGCCATAGAGAATTCATTAGAAGCTACATAATGCATATAATCATCACAAACTTCTCAGTAGAACAGTATGTGAAGAATTACATTTAATTATGAAAGTATTGTATTAAGTTTTGACCTATTTAATTGACAATACATCCTCTAAATGTATATAGGTTGGTATAAAAGAACATTTTCTGCACTACTCATCTATTCAAACGTCACTTAATTGCGAAATGCAGTGCGAAACTACGAATGTCAAATATAAAAAAAAAACAATATCTCATTAAAGAAACAAATACTCGTTCTTATGATTTATCACAAAATGTTTTTTCTGAATCAGGCTTTTATTGTCGCAATAATCAGTTATTTATTTGATTCATTATTTATGAACAGCTGTCCTTAACAGTTGTCATGGATAAAATCAGCTTATCGAATAAATTGATGGCTAACCTTTTATTCTGTTCCGGTTTTAATTATCTTGAAATTAATTTTATCTTATCTGTTTTGTCGTTTGACTGTCAGAAGTTTTTAACTAATAAAATGAGACCTTTGAATCCACTCTGCACTATATATCAAGTGATTGAGCTAACCGA